TCCCACCCACACGAGCGTCTTCCTCCCTCCTCATCCTCGCCAGCACTTGTTTGTTGATCCATTGATGGTGGCCATTCTGGCCGGTGTGAGGCGATGTCTGATTGTCGTTTTAATTTGCATTTGCCTGATGATTAGTGACGTTGAGCATCTTTTCAAATGTGTGTGACTCGTCTTTCTGTCCTGTTTGGAGAAGTGTCTCCTCAGGTCCTTTGCCCATTTTTGAATTGGACTGTTTGTCTTCCTGGTGTTGAGTCGTGGAAGTTCTTCATATAAATTAACCCCTTATCAGAGGTATCTAATTTCCCATTTCTAAGAACGCATTATTGGAATAGAAAAAAAAAAAAGATGATTCCACACTCTCTTCTCCTTGTCAGATTGCCAGGTAATTTTGCTCGTATCGGGGGTTTTTCCTAGCGTCTCTTGGACTGCCCGGTGTTTAAAGGCACCATCCTCAGAGGGTGGCTTTGTGACCCTTCTTCGCCACGTGCATGCTCGCCACGCCCCTGCCGCCCGCGCCCAGGGGCGGCCGGCGCCCCTCGCTTGCCCGCGGTTACCAGCTGCGGGGGCGGGTTGCGCCTTTCCCCGCGGGACAGAATGCAGGCAGCCTCAGAACCGCTGGCTCTGGAGGCGAGCAGAGCCCTGCCCCTCCTGGACGTCCCCAGCCGCCGGGGCTGGGTCCCTGCAGGACCTGCCGCCTGCTCCCTGCCCCGGGACCACTCACCAGAGGCGGGGGTGGCCTGGGGCTTAAGGCCGGGCGATGGTGGGGCCAGAGCGAGGGGCTGGGTCAGGGGGGCCCCTGCCCAGCTCGGCGGCGACTTGACCCTGAAGGCCACAGGGAGTGGCCACTCGCTGCTGGTGGGCACCGGAGCCAGGGCACAGGTTCCGGCAAAGGGTGGAGGAGGCCGGGACGCCACCTGCCCACCCAGGGTCCTGGGGGGGGCGGGGGGGGGGGCGGGGGGTGAACAAGCCGCTGTCATCCTGCGTGGGCTCAAGGGAGGCGGCGGGCCGCCCCCCGTCAGGGCGCCGGCAAGGCTCCTCCGCCCCGGCCTGTCCCCGCGCCCGGGTCTGGTGCAGGCCCGGGTGTCCTCGCCTTGCCTGCAGCTGGCAGCGGCCAGCTCCCCGCCCCAGCCCGAGCCAGGACGCCCTGACGTTGGTCCTCCCCAAGCCCGCAGGGTGTCGCAGCACAGACCCTCGGTGCTCCCTGCGGGGAGCGATGGGGCAGCGGGAGCCCCGCCTCCGGGGCCGGTGGGGGCGGGGCTGGAAGTGCCCGCGGGAGCCGGGCCGCTGCTCCCAGGGTCTGCTGGCGCTGCCCCGCGGCCCGTCAGGGTCCTGATTTCAGTTATTTTATCGTTAATTCTAGAATTCCCATCGGACGGGGGGTTTTCCCATAGACTCTAGGCCTCTGGTAAAATTCTTCAACTTGTCATTTATTTGTGGAGCGTTTATTCATAACTGTGTCAGGGGCCACGTCTGGCAGCCCCAACACCTGGGTGGCCAGTCCGTGTCTCCTGCCACCGCCGCCGTGTCCCCCTTTCCTTGCTGCGACCGTCCCATCTCCTGGCCTCCTGGTCATCGGGCGGGCAGATGGGGGACCGTGCGCGTGGACGCCAGCGGAGGGCAGGGCGGGGCCGGCTCCTGGTGCCCCCGCGGAGGTCTCGTCGGGCCTCGGCCGCGAGCCTGGGCGACGTCCAGGGGCGTCTCCTCGGTGCCGGCCCCCAGCGTCGTCCGCGACCCCGGCTCAGCCGTTCAGGGCTTCAGCGGCAGCTTCCTGCTTCGCGTCCCACCCCGAACCCCTGAGGACGGGCCAGCACCGCGAGGGGAACCGCACACGCGGCAGGCGCCTTCCACAGCCAAGTTCGCCCCCCGGCCGTGGGAGCCTCCGGTTCCGGCACCACCCACGCGTCCGCAGCCCCAAGGGCCAGGTGGGACGCGGTCCCCGTGAGCACACGCCCTGCGCTCGGCCGGCCCTGCGTCCTGGCTGCCTTCGTCCTCACCGACCCTTCAAACAGCTGTTTTTCAATCTAGCTCTTGGACTTGGGTGGTTTTTGAAAAAATAATCTTTATTTTAAACGTTTTCTCGTTGATTGATTGTTGAGAAGGGGACATCCACGTTGCTCCACCCATCGGTTGCTACCCTGCCGGGGATCGAACCCACGCCCCGGCCTACACATGCAGCGGGACGTCGGCCCACGCACAGCCGGGTGCCTCTGGGGGCGCTGCGGTCCTGGCTGCAGCTGACCTCTGGCCTCCGGTCAGCGCCGGGCGTGCAAGGCCGGACAGAGCCCGGGGAGGGGCGAGCTGGCCTCTGGGCCTGACTCCTGGAACCTGCCTGCGTCGGGGCTTCCTCTCCCTGCCAGCAGCACAGGCCCGGCTCGGAGGGCTCGGCTGTGGCCAGAGCCGCCGCGCAGACCAAGACTGGTGACCGAACGCAGATCCCCGGAGGCAGAGGGCCTGCTGGAGCCACACAGCCCGGCCCTGGGAGGCCAGGGCCGCGGTGCCGACAGGGACCCTGGCCCGAGTCCTGGATGGCGGCCGTGGGCTCAGGAGCAGCCAGACAAGTGGGGGCCACCCCACCCTGCCGGGGCCGCACCCCAGGCTGCCAGGCCTGCGCTGGGGACAGGGCGGTGGGGGCGGGGCGGCCTCTGCCCCCCCCCCCCGGCCTTTCTCTCCTCCTCGACCCCTGGCTCTACTCCCCCGCCTGGGAGCAGGCACCTGCACACCTGCCTCACGCCCCAGGCCCCTGCCTGGCCCTGAAACCCAGCCCCCTGGGCCGCATTCTGCAGGGGGACCCCCCGCCACCTCCTGTGTCTCCCCAAGAATGCAGCAAACCTTGTCATGGTCCACACGGCTTCCCAGTTCAGGAAATTCAGGCAGAACCAAGGGCAGACAGGAAACCAGGTGCAGGTCCCACATGCACAGGATGGACATGCGGCCGAGCGGCTTCTCGCCTCGCCGTTCGGGCCGAGCAGCGATCAGCGACGAAAGTCGAAGCCAGGCTGGGCGTCCGCTGCAGAGGGTCCGTCGTCGGCAGGACTGGGGCGGGCGTGGCCCACAACCGCCTTTGGGGAAGTTGCCGGGCGCCGTCTCTCCGCCCGAGCCCACACTCCCTGCAGCGAGGCGCTGGGGCTCCTGGCGCCCCGGGCCGTGCTTGCTGGTCTGTGGGGCCCCGAGTTCACAGGCCCGGGCAGGTGGTTTCCTGCCACAGCATTTCCCTGACCGCCCGCCCGCACCGGACACGCGGCTGCCACCTGGTGGCCGCTGGGAACACTGCGGCCGCGTGTGTGCAAATGCCCTCGGCGTTCCTGATTCCAGTGCTTTCGGATCCATACTCGCAGGTTGGATTGCTGGTCACCCGGCAGTTCTATTTTTTGAGCTTTTGAGACGCTCCATGCCGCTTTCCAATTCCGTGCCCGGGCAGTGACCGAGGGCTCCCTGCCTCCACGTCCTCACCAGCACTTCCTTCCTTTCCTCTCTTCCAGGACAGCGGCGTCCTGGGGTGCAGGGCTCTCCCACTGGGCTTCGCGCATTTCCCTGCTGGCTGAGGAGGCTGTGCCTCCTTCCCGGCGCTGGTTGGCCGTTTGCATATCTTCTCTGGACACCTGTCTATGCAAGTCCTTTCAGGCTATTTATTCTTTTTGTGTTTTTCAAGGGCAGTGTGCATTCCATGTTATGTTGTCTTAGTTCCCGGTGCACAGCGCGATTTATTCTTGCACCACTCTTCCTCCTGGACTTTAGACTTGGTTCGCGTGGTTATAGAAACACCCTGTACCTTCTGTGTTGGGGTGCAGTCCCTGTATGGGTCCGTTTGGGGAGGGTGGCCCCACCTGCCTTGGTCTCCCCTGCAGGTGCCTGGCTTGGTCTGCCTCCTCCCTCCTACCCATCTGCCCCCGTGGCTCCAGCTGCCACTAAGAGCTGCCCCCTCGCTCCGTGCGGAGCTCCCCGACAGTCCCAGCCCGTTGACTGTCCTCAGGCCTCTCCGTCCCTCTGTGCCCAGCTCGGAACCCCGGCCCTGCACACTGGCTCTCCGGGCCTGTGCGCCTGCGTCCTGCTGAGAGCAGGGCCCAGGTGACCGCTGGGCACCGGCCTTTCCTCCCCACCCCACACGCTGGAGGAAGGCTGGGCCTCGGCTGGTGAAAGATGTGAAGGAAAACAGGGCTTCTGTGAAGGGCCATTTCCCGAGGCGTCGACAGGGGGCCCGAGAAGCCTGCAGGTGGTGGGAGTCCTGGGAAGGCAGAGGCTGGGGCCTCGGGGCGAGGACAGGCCACCCCCAGGAAGACGAGGTCCCCCGACTCCTGGGCCAGCGGCCACACTCACTGGGAAGCCAGTGGGGGAGGAGCATGGGCCTGGGGAGCCAACCCCAATACCCAGCTCGACCCCCTCCCCTGTCCCGGCCGCACCCCTCACAGCCCGGGGCCTCTAGCTGGACGCCTGGCACGCCCCCGCCCCAGACCAGCTCCCCCAGACTCGGCCGGAGCAGGCCTCACACGCTCCGGCGGCGCCACACAGTCCTTGGAATGAAGTCCAAACTCCTTGATCACCTGGTACAGGTCCCTCCCCGGCCCGCCACCCCCACCCGGCGGGCCCTCTCCACGCCTCCGCCCCGTGCGCCCGGGGTTCCCGCCACCGGTCCCGCCCACTGCCTGGCGCGCGGCGCGCCCTCTCCCAGCCTCCCCACTGCAGGTGGGTGTCCCCTCTCCGGGGCTCTCCCCCCAGGCCAAGGCCTGGCCCCGGGGCAGGGCCGGGGACGGCCGGCGGATCGCCGAGTGTGGCCGCGGGCGGTGGGGCGGGGGGCGTCGGCAGCAGGCCGGGGGCCGGGCAGGGCGGACTCTGCGGCCCGTCTCCCGGCCCAGCGTCCTCCGCCCTCGCCGCTCACTCCCCGCCTCCGCTCAGGTCTTCCCCACCGGCGGGACCGTCCCTCGGCCGGGCGTCTCCCACGCTGCCCCGCCCCCGGCGGTCACCCCCTCCCTGCGCCCGCGCTGTGCGGGGCCAGAGCCCCGAGGACTCACCCCAGGAGCGGCGAGCACCTCCGGGCCCCCACCAACCGCACCCCTCGGCAGTGTCTGGCTCACGGGCGGCGCGCAGGTAGGATCGTGTCGCCCTAGACCCCCGGCTCCGAGCACCCAGCCCAGCCTGGGACTCTGGAGTCCCGGGCCGGGGTCGGGGGGGACGCGCGGGAGGAAGGGTCCAGGCGGGCGGGCCGCGGGGGTCCCGCCTCCTTTCCTCTCCACCCTCCTTTGGGCAGCGGGGCCAAAGGTTAGGGATCGGGGGCGCGGCCGAGGGCCTGGACGCGCGGCCCCTGGACACCGTGCTCCCGCCAGCGCGGGGGGACGGGTCCCGCCGGGCACTGGCGGGCGCGGGCCGGTCGGCGGGTCGGCGGGTCGGCGGGCGGGGGCGGGGCGCCGGGAGCCGCGCGGGGGACGGGGCCGCGCTCACCTGGCTCTCGGCCCGCCCTAACCTGAATTTCCGGGGGCGGGGCCAGAGCGGGGGCGGGGCGAGGGCGGGGCTGGCGGCGAGGGCGGGGCTGGCGGGCGGGAGCCCGCAGACGTCAGGGACCCCGCGGCAGGAGGCCGCCGCTCTGCCCGGGGCTCGGCCGGGGCTCCGCGCGCGTGCGGGCCGCGCCGGGCAGGTCCTAGGCGGCGGCCCGGCTCAGCGCTCGCCGGCCGGACGGGAGGGCCGGGCTGAACCGCAGGTAAGACGCCCGCCCTCGCCCGCGACTGCCCGGGCCTCCGCCGCACGCACCTGTGCGCCTGCGGGGCCGCTCGGACAGGGGTCCTGGGCGGGGAGCGGGATCCCTGCCGGACCGGACAAAGACGAGTGGGGTGGCCGGCGCACCTGGCCAGGCCGATCGCCACGCCGCGGAGGCGGCCCAGGTCTGCGCCAGGCTGGGCGGGGCCGCCGGGGCGCGTCTCCGCGGCCTGGGAGGGGGCGCGGGCCCGGCTCCGGCTCGGCCAGGCCGCCCGGGCGAGCGCTGATTCAGGGGCAGGCGCGCTCCCTCCCCCTCCGGCCCCGCTCCCTGCGGCCGCCTCCCGGCCTGGTCTCTCTGCTCTGCGGTCCCTCCCTCCGGGTCCCTCCTCCTCTTTCCAGTCTCCCGATTTCCCTGCGCCGCCGCCGTCTCCGCTGTCCCCGGCCTCCGATCCGTCTGCTCCTTCCAGCCGCCCTGCCGGCCGGCCCCGCCCGGCCCCGGGCCCGGCTCCCATCCCTTGCCTCTCCCAGGCCCGCGGCTTCCAGAACCGGCCCCCAGCCCCCATACCCCTGCCTCCTGGTGGTGGTTCTCGCGGCTGGGGGGCGAAGGGACAAGTTTGGGGTGTTTATTATTCTCCCTCCTAGCAGCGATGGCTGCTCAGCCCTGGACCGGCGGCAGGCTGTCCGGAAGCCTCTGTGGCTCCCAGGCCTGGGCCTTTCGGGATGCGCTGGCAGTGGCTGGGCGGCCTGGCTTTCAGGCAGCGTGACCGGGCTCTGGGGCTTTGGCTTCCCTTTGCCACAGGCCCTGGGTGGTGTCTCCGTGCCTGCTGCCTGCTGGGAGCCCGTGGCAGGTGATGGCAGAGCGAGGACCTAGCCCGGGCCGGGGCTAGGAAACGCAGCAGCGGCTGGCGGAGGGGGGGGAGGCCGTGGTCGCCGCCTCTGCCGGCTGAGGGGCTGTGGAGGCCTGGGGGGTGGGGGCTGCGCCTCCGTCGCCAGTGTCACCCCGAGTGAACCCTGAGGAAGGGCCCGGTGAAGGGGCCTGACCGGGCAGAGCTGCCTGCTCCTGGGGCGGAGTTTTCTTTCTTCCCACGTGCCTGCCCCAGGTGACAGGAGAGTATGCCTGGGGCGCATGGTCTGTGGCCTTCACAGATGGGTGGGGCCTGGGTGTGGGCCTGCGGGGCCAAGGCCTGGGGAGACCCCCATCTGGCGCGGCACCAGCGGCCCGCCTGCTGTCCCTGTGGAACCAGGTCGGGGACTCGGGACTGTGACCCCCCCCACCGGGGCTCGCAGCGGCCCTGCCCTCAGACTGGGCCTGCAGGGCTGCCCCTCCGGCTCCGGCTCCAGGGCCAGCCGCGGACTCCAGGGGCTGCGGGGCTCCGCGCCCCTGCCCTGGCTGCCCCCTTGGCCTGGAATGCCGCCCGCCGCCGTGCCCACACCCCACCTTCTGCCTGTGCCTGTGTTGCCCAGAGGTCACCGTCCCCGACCGCCCTCCTGAAAGAGACCCCTCTCTGTGCCCCTCAGGCCTTCTCGTCCCCTTGAGGGGAGCCCCAGGATGTGCGCGGTGTGAGCGTGCGTGCAGAGGAGAGCAGCCAGGACACCGGTGCGTGTGGCCGTGGGCATGCGGGCCTGGGCTCTGGGCAGGGACACAGTGACCGCACGGGCCGGCGCCGCCCCAGGGCCTGGTCTCAGGTGCTGTCGGCTCTTGTCGTGGTCCAGGTTGCTCCCACTGTGCCCCTCAAGCCGCCGTGCGGTCCCGACCACATCATCCCTCAGACCCGCCTTTGCCGGGGCCCTGACCGCTGCTGCTGCCCTGGCCTGGGGCATTTGCGGGGCGGTGACAGTGGCCGCTGAGGGACGTTGGGCCTTCTGTCAGCGGAGGGGCCGTGGCGGGCCACGGCGCCTGCCTCCAGCCGTGTCCCCAGCCCCTGGGCCCAGGGCTCGCCCCAGGCTGTTGGGCTGGGGGGCCAGGTTCAGAGTGGGTGCCCTCGGCCCGGCCCCGTGGGGACCCCAACTGCGGGGGCTGCCCCTGGTCGGTCCACACGCAGGCGCTGCCGCCGCCGCCCCACAGACACGGCCCCTCCTGCGCCTACGAGAGGGGAGGGGCTGTGGGGCCCGGGCGCCGGGGAGGACCAGGCCGCCGTAGCTGGTGGGGCCCGCGGGGGACCCACACGCTCGGGGAAGGACGGGTGGCCGGGAGTGGCTAGAGCCCAGCGTCCCTGGAAGGTGCTGGGGCCTGGGGGCGGGGCACCTGGGCTGGGGGGCGGGGCGGCGGGGCAGCGGCCCTGCTCTGACGGCTCCTTCACCCCCAGGGCCTGACGGCCTCCCCGGCGCCAAGATGAGCGCCACCTCCTGGTTCCTGGTGAGCAGCAGCGGCACCCGCCACCGGCTGCCACGAGAGCTCATCTTCGTGGGGCGGGACGAGTGTGAGCTGATGCTGCAGGTGAGCGGGCGCCTCTGGGGCCCGGAGGGCACGGCCGGGGCGGGACACCCGGGGAGGGGCGGGGCGCACGGTGGGCTCCGGGGGTGCAGGCTGCTGCCCGCAGGCGCTCTTCCCTTCAGAGGGTGCTGGAGAGTGGGTCTGCCAGCGTCCTTGTTGCCTGGAGCGGCGACCTGGGCTGCCAGCCTGGTGGGGAGCCACAGGCCAGTCCGCGGGGGCTGGTGCCCCTTCGAGGGGCCGCGGGGGGAGGGGTTTCTCAGGCACGAGAGGCTGAGACCTGGCAGTCAGCTGGGCACCGGGCCCCCGGTGGTCGGAACTTTCTTTCTGGTCCGGGTTTCAGAGTCCAAGTTCGGCTTCCCTGGGGCTCACGTGTCGTGACTGTTTGGGGACAGGGTGGGCAGGATCCGGGCGCGGGGGTGGGGGCGGTGGGCCCGTTCCTCGGCGGTCCTGGTGTGCCGGGCGGGCTTCCTGCGGCCCTGACAGGCCTGGCGGGGCCCTGGGTGTGCAGGACCTGCGGGTATCGGGGGCCAAGCGTGCTCCTCCTGCTCCCGCCCGCTCCAAACGCACACATGTGCACGTGTAGGGCGTGCAGGACACGCTGGCGGCACACACACGCGCGTCGGTGCACATGCGTGCTCACTCCTGTGCATGGCAGGGTGTCCTCCCTGTTCCGGCCCGGCAGGCCCTGTGGCAGCGGGGACGGCGGGACCTGCCTGCTCGCAGCCTGCCCTGCAGCCACGTTCACCCTCCAGGCTGGCTGGAGCCTGGGGCGGGGCTGCTGTGACTGGGCGGGCGGAGCTTCCCCACGGAGGGCAGACCCGGGTTTTGGAAGCACATCTTTGTTTTGTGTTAAGAGTGAGTACAGACAGGCCCTTTTCCCCCCAAATCTGCGCGTGTGGAGCGTCAGGCCACTCCCCGGGTGCCTCTCCGGGTGCCTCTGGGGCGGGCTCTCGCAGCTGCTCCTCTTCTGGAGCTGCAGGTCCCCCCCACCCCCCGCCTCCCGCGGCCTGGCTGTCGTCTCCCATGCGTCCCCAGCCGGGGGCTGCCAGCCCCTGAGTCCCCAGCTCCGCGGGGGGGGCCAGGAGGGAGGCTCCGGGGCAGGGCTCTCCCCACTGTTCCCGGTGCCCCCGAGGTCTGGGGAGGGGGCTGGGCGGGAGCTGCCCCGGCGAGGTTACTCTGGGGGGGTGGGCAGGGCAGCCCAGGCCTTGGGTGCCAACTGGGGGGCGGGCTGTGCCAAGCCCCAGGCATTGGAGGGTGGATGTGGGCAAGGTGGGGCGCCGTGCCAGGAGGAAGGTGGGCGCAGGGAGGGTGGCGGGCCCTGGGCAGAGGACCCAGGCTCAGGTGCGGGCTTGGAACCTCCAGAGCCTGCAGAGGCAGCGGGCCCGCTGGGGCGGGTGCGGACAGGAGAGGAGGCCTGGCGAGGCCTCCGGGGCCGCCTCGCATGGGACCAGGCTTGGCCTTTCCTCCCCGGGAGTTTCGGAGAGTGTCAGGCAGGGCTGACTGGGGGCTGGGTGGATGGGAGAGAGGTGGCCGCAGGGAGGAGGCAGGTGCCCAGGTGGGGAGGAAGGCCCGTGGGCACCAGAGCCTGGCCTGAGAGGGGGTGTGGCTGGGGCAGCCAGGGGCTGGGCTGGTGCCATCCCTGGAGGAAGGCGGGGGTCGCAGTGTGGAAGAGTGGGGTGTGGCGGAGCTGGGCTTGAGCCACCTGGGGGCCGCGAGGGTAGTGCCCACGTTGGGGGCTTCGGCCTGGGGCCGGAGGGGTGCTGTTCAGGTGGAGAGGGCAGCCGGCATCCCCTGCAGCGGCCGGTCTCAGCGGAGGCGGCCCCCCACTGGGGGACGGGGCGCTGTTGCTGCTGCCCAGCGCGGTTTGCCTGGGGCCCCCGCCCCCTCCCGTGTCCACCCCGAGGCTGGCGCGCCCCCATCAGTGCCCCTTCTCGCGACGCCCCCGAGGGGCTGGAGCCCGGCCCCCAGGTCTCGGGGTTCGCTTTCCTGAGACAGTGGGTCCCTTCGGCTCCGTGGCATCTGTGTCCTGGGCAGGGCCAAGCGGGCAGCTGGCCCGTCTCCGAGCCCTGGCTGGGTGCACGGGGAGCGGAGGAGGGGTGAGCCCGGTTCCCAGGCTGCCGAGTGGGGCAGTTGCCTGGCCTGAGGCGGGGCGACCCTGTGAGGTGCTGGTTCTTGCTACCCCCACCCCCGACGGGGTCCTGGGGGAAGCGCCAGCCACGCCCTGCTGGCAGGAGACCGAGGCTGGGGGGGCACGCAGGGTCCCAGAATGCGCCAGGCTGGGCAGGCCCAGGCCAAGGCCAGCGGCAGGGTCACCAGGGTAGCGTGTGGGGGAGGGGCGTGCCGGGCGACCGGCACAGGGACAGAGCGAGGAGCCCAGCAGCGGAGGGGGTGCTTGGCGTCCAGCGGCCGGGAGCTGCCTCGCCGAGGGCGCCAACCTGAATAGGGAATTCGGGACGGGGCCAAGGGGAGGCCTGGGGACAGGGCAGTGGGTCTCAAGGCTAGACTCGCCTGGCCAGAGGCCAGCTGCTTAGGGGGGCGGCAGGAGTCCCCCCCAGGATCATCCCCGGGGCTTCCAGGGGGTCGTGGAGGGGGGCGGACCATGAACCTGTGCCTCCCGGGCCCCCCAGGTGGTGCTGGGCGGGTTGCTGGGGGCCCTGTGTCCTGGGGGCTGCTCTGCACTGCGCCCAGCAGAGACCCTGCCCCCCCGCCCCTCCAGGCCGCCCCCAGGGTCATCCTTGTGGGTCGAGCTGCCACCTTGGGGGCCCAAAACCCAGGACCGGCTGGAGCGCGGAGGCCGAGCTCAGGCCCAGGGCCACAGCCTCAGCCTGGCTGGCGACGCCTCTGCCTGGCTGAGCGACCTTGGGTGGGGGCGGGGCGGGGCCGGAGCCGCTCTGTCCCCCCCTTGCCCTGCCCTGCCCCGGCTCTGGGCGAGGAAGGAGGCCCTGCCCTGGGGTCTTCCAGCCCTAGGTGGGGCGGGGGGTGCTGAGGCCTCCCCGGAAATGCAGGGCGGCGCCTGAGGGGCTCGGCAGGCCGAGTGGCTGGGAGGCCTGGCCTCTGAGGTGGTGGCCAGTGGCCTGGGGGAGGGCAGGCCTGGGCGTGCGCACCTGTGGGAGCTCAGCCTGCGGTGGGGGACTCGGGACCCAGGTCCGGGCTGCCCTCCCACGGGGGGTGCCCCCGCCCAGGCGTCTGGTCCTGCGTGTGCCCGGTGGGGAGGTGGGGCTGGCGGCTCCTGGGGGCCCTGCCGGGCGGGCCCGCTGGGGCCCACGCGGTCACCAGGGCCAGGGCTGGGCAGCGCCCTGGGTTGGTCGGCTGTGCGGCCTCCCCTGGGCGGGGTCCAGGCCTGCGGCTCCTCAGGTGGCCGGACGCGGTTGCCACCCCAGACGCGGGGCCCCGGCCGAGCGGCGTGGGCCGAGCCGGGCAGCCCTCTGCTAAGACCGTGAGGCAGCTGTGCGGGCAGCACCTGGGCAAGCGGATCGGGACCCCGGGCCCCGGCCCCGCCTCTGTCCCCAAGCCCTGGTTGTGGGGGGTGGCGTGGCTTGGCTGTGGCCCCCCCCCCACTCGTCGGTGTGGGGGGCTGGTGGCTGTCCTCGGGGCGCGGTCCTGAGCGGCTGGGGCTGGGCCAGGGCTGGTCCTGCTCAGGACGGCGGCACCTGCGCGCGTGCGCATTCGTGCACGGCAGGGGGCGGGAGGCCTGCTCAGGGTGTGTGCGTCCCGTGCGTGAGCGTAGAGCCAGTAGGGTGTGAGAGGCCCCCGACGCGTGTGCACGTGGAGGTTGTGTGGGCCCCGTGGGGCAGGCTGGGTGTGCCAGGAGTGGGGGGAGGCCTCTCCGCCAGCCACCCCAGCGCTTTGATCCTCCCGCTGGGCGCCGCCCGACCTGCCCGGCTGCCTCGCCTGCTCTGGGCGCGGGAGGGGTGCGGCGGGTGGGGGGGCGCGGTGAACGCCCATCCCAGGTGCCCGGAGCATTCCTAGCCCTCCCACGGCAGAGCCCGGAGCAGCCACGGGGACCGGCGGGGCTCTGGCCTGCTCAGGTCAGGTGTGGGTGCGCCTTGCAGGACACACACCTGCTGAAGGTGGGAGCACACGTGTGGGGGAGCTTATGGACTCCCGCCCGTGGGCGGGGGCTGGTGGTGTTGGGGGGGGTCGGGCCGGGGGTCTCTGCCTCCTGGGAAGGCCGCCTGAGGTGCGTCTGTGTCTCCCTAGTCCCGCAGCGTGGACAAGCAGCACGCCGTCATCAACTACGACCAGGACCGGGATGAGCACTGGGTGAAGGACCTGGGCAGCCTGAACGGGGTGAGTGGGCCCGCCCACGGCGCCCCACTATGCCTCCCTCGCGCAGATCCCGCCCCTCAGTGGCCTCTCCCCTGCACAGGCCCCGCCCCTCGGTGGCCCCGCCCACTGCTGGCCCCGCCCCACAGTCCCTCTCCGGGGCCGCCTTCTCGGAGACCACAGCCCCTGCTGCGGCCCCCCTGCCCCTCCAGGACCCCTACCCAGATGGGCAAGCAGCCACCCTCAGGGGCGGAGGCCACAAGACCTCCCCAGGAGGGACCCTCCGGGACACCTGCCCGGGAGCCGCCCTCCTTCTGGGCCTAGACCCTCTGTACCGCGTGCAGTCCCGCACGCTCGTGGGTCTTGTGCCCGACTCCAGGCGCGGCAGCCCTCCCGTGGGCGCCCTGACCTGTCCCAGCAACGCTCTGAGCCCGCGGGGGCCCCGCTTCCTCCGAGCCCGCGTGGTGTTTGGTGGCTCCTGCTGGGGGAAGAGGGTGTCCAGGGACTGGCTTTTCGATGCCGTGGGCCTGTGTGGGGGCCTGGTCAGACAGCCGCGCATGGCCTGACCAGCCTTGCATGGGGCCCCCCTGGGGGCGAGCCTTTGCCGTGGAATTTGGGGGGGGGGGCTGGGGGGTGCGGCACAAGCCTGTGTGGTCAAGAGGGAGGGTTTGTTTCCCAAAAACGTCCACGGACGTTCTGCTTGAGCGACTGCCTCCGTCCCTGGGCACTGCGTGAGGCCTGGCCTGCGACGCCCGCCCGCCTGTCCCTTCGGGCGCGAGTCGGTGCTCAGGTGTCGGGGGACGCGGCCACCCAGAGCCAGGGCAGGAGGCCTCCGGGCCCGGGCACCCGCCACCTCCGCTCAGCGGCCTGCCTTCCCTGCAGACGTTCGTCAACGAGGTGCGCATCCCAGACCAAAAATACATCACGCTGAAGCTCAACGACGTCATCCGCTTCGGCTATGATATCCTTTCCCACCGGTGCCCTGGGGGCCTGGGAGCAGGTGGGGCCTCAGCAGCCACAGCTGAGTTAGAGGGTGGCAAGGGTGAGCCCCAACCCCAGTCTCTGCCACCCGCCCCTCACGTCCAGGCCCCGGGCCCCTGTGGGTGAGTCCTCCCTGGGACCCGGAGTCCCGTGTGGCTGGGGGGGGGTGCTGCCAGGCGGGCATTCTGTGCCCCAGCAGGAGGGGTGGGGGAGGCACCCCACCGCGGGAGGCCGGGGCGCTGCGCACGGAGGGAGAGCCTGCTGTCCTTGGCCCCCGCTGGAGCTGCTGCACTGTCTGGGGGCATGGGCCTGGCCGCCGGTCAAGGCCCTCCCCACCCCGGGGACCTTGGGTGGCTGGTGGCTGGCAGGCGGCTGGGGACGGCTGGACAGTGGCGTAGCCTCTGGGGCTCTAAGTGGCCTGCCCGCCATGCCTTGGGCCGAGGGGAGGGGGGAGCCGTGCCCGGAGCCCTGGGCATGCATGTGCAGCGACCTGGAGGGGCCTCCCACTCCCCCCGCCGTGTGGGGGCGGCCTGCACCCCTGCCTGGTGTGCACGTGGGCTCGCAGGCCTCTGCACTCAGGGGCGGGGGGGCAGCACCATCCTGCCTGGGGTCCCCCGGGGCCCCCCTGCCTGGGAGCGACCCCTGCACCGCCCGGGCCTGGGCTGCTGCCGCGCCACTGCCTGTTCTCCTTAACTCACAGCCACATTCCAACATGTACGTGCTGGAGCGCGTGCAGCACCGGGTCCCCGAGGAGGCGCTCAGGGTCAGTGCCGCGCTTGCCCTGGGCCGGCCCCCTGCCCCCAGCCCTGCCGCCCTGGCCGACGCCCCAGGCCTCCGGGTGGCCCGGCCTGGCTGTGGTGCCTGAGCCTGCCTGGCCTGCTCGACAGGGTCACCCAGCCGTGCAGGTGGGGAGGCCTCAGTCCCCCAGGCACGTGCAGCTGCGGCGGTGGGCGTGGCCGGTGGGCGTGGCCAGAGCCCTGGCGGCTGCTGCCGGGAAGACCCGGTCAGGCCAGTGGGGCGGGTGGCCAGGAACAGGCAGGATGGGGTGTTTGAGGCCGGCCATCGGGCTTGAGGGTCCTAGGTGGGGCGTGACCGCGGGTGGGGCGTGACCGCGGGTGGGGCGTCACGGAACACAAACTTGGGGGAACCCTGTCCAGAGCTCTGCTTGGGAGCCCTGTGCTGGGGCAGGGAGACTGGCTTCAGCCCATTTTCCTGAGGAGCCTCAGGCAGCGCAGGGACCGTGGTGGACAGCCCAGAGTCCCAGGGCCCCACATGCACAGACACGCAGACACGCACACGCAGGCACACACCCTGTACAGACACTCGTGCCCACGTGGGTGCACGTGAACTACGCACCCACAATCTGCTCAAATGGGCCGCTGCTCCCCCCACAGACCCCAAGTGGCTGACCCCGTGCCCTGGGGCCTGTCCCGCCCCGCGGGGTCCCGGGGGGCCGGCTCCCCTTTGGTGTTGCTGCCCATCGGCCCCTCCGGCCCCCCGCCAAGCAAGCCCCGCTCCCTCCCGGAAGCTCTGTGGTCCTGGGGATCCTGCCAGGCTTGGGCCCGGGCCAGACGGTCTCAGGCCGTCTGCCCTGGGAGGGGGTGTTCCCCCAAGGAGGCCGGCCGCCCCTCACTCCCACCCGCCACCCACAGCACGAGAAGTACACCAGCCAGCTGCAGGTGAGCCTCAGGGGCGCGGCCCCCAAGAGGGGCGAGGCGCTGCCGGAGCCCACGCCGTACTGCGAGGCCGCGAGCCCCAGGCCGGAGCGGGACCGGAGGCCGGGAGCAGGTAGGACGGCCGCAGGCCCAGGGCGCACACCTGTCTTCCCACAGGCCCCCCGATCCCCCTCGCCCGGGAGCCGTCCTTGTGCCCCCACACAACCCCTCGCTGCCCCTCAGCCCCTGGCAGGCCCCGCCTGGCCTGCTCACGCACACGCCCAGGTGCCCCTGCACGTGGCCCCACGCCCAGCAGGCGGCCCCCCACCCCGTGTCCCTGCATTCCCACACCCTCGCACGTGCACCCGCCCGTGTGCGCCCCGTCACCACGGGTCTGCCCCCTCCCACCCTTGCACACAGTGTGGTCCAGCCAGACGGGGTGGCTCCCAGCCCCCAGGGTCACCCACGCGTGGCCTGAGCCATTGCAGAGCCCTGGCGACGGGGTCCCGTTGGGCAGGCTCGGGAGGCAGAGGCCCTGGGCCAGAGCCAACGGGACCCTCCACCCCAGGACGGGTGCTGCGGACGGTGCCCCCGAAGGTCCAGCCTCCCCGTACCCATCACCCGACAGGGAGGCCCAGGCAGGGATGGGGGGGGAGCCGGCGCGTCTAAGCCGTCGGTGTGGGAGCAGCGGGCTGCTGGCCAGGGTGCTGGGCGCTGACGCCAGGTCCCCCGGTGCCCAGCCTGCCCCGCCCTGGGGCTCCCCTCCCATCGGGGCTGGGGCGTGGTGACCTGGAGTCCAACGCTTCCCCCTCCACAGAGACCGCGGCCTACCGCACGCCCCTGTACGGGCAGCCGTCCTGGTGGGGAGAGGATGACAGCGGTGCCCCGCCCGAGGACCGGCACCAGGAGGGGCCAGGCCCAGGTAGGCCCGTGGCCGGCCCGCAAGATCCCCGAGCTCCAGGGGTCCCTGGGGCTGCCGGCTCTGGCAGGCGGGGCTGGTGGGCCAGCAGAGGTGGGGGGCAGGGCGCTACCCCTGAGCCCGAGTCCCCCTGAGGATGTGTCCCGCCCGCCCGCCACAGAGCGGCCCAAGGAGCTGGCGCCACAGGACGTGGACCACATGGGGACCGCGGCCAGCTTCCGGGCCCCCGTGGAGCCCCAGGGCTTCTCTCTGCGCCGGGAGCCCAGCTACTTCGAGATCCCCACGAAGGAGGCCCCCCGCCCGCCCGAGGCGCCCGCCCACGAGGCGCCCGCCCAGGATGGGGGGCGGGGAGGGGCCGCACCTGTGGTCCAGAGCCACGCCTCCTTCACCATCGAGTTTGACGACGGCAGCCCCGGCAAGGTGAAGATCAAGGACCACGTCACCAAGTTCTCCCTGCGCCAGCGGCAGCCCCCGGGCTCGGCCGCGCCTGTGGAGGTGGTCTCGGCAGAGACCAAGGTGGCCGACTGGCTGGTGCACAGCGACCCCAGCCTGCTGCGCCGGGCGGGCCCCGGGGGGGACCGCCACAGCACCAAGAGCGACCTGCCCGTGCACAGCCGCACCCCGAAGGGTGAGTGCCCCGCCGGCTGCCCCCACGTCCCCTCCCGCTGGGGACCCTGATCAGCTTGACTGATCGCAGTTTTGAAAAATTCCGCGACACCCACCGGCCCCCTCGGGGCGGCTCCTGTGCTTGTCTCAGTCACGAGGGTGGGGCTCCCAACCACGCGGGATGGCTGTGGCTCTGTGTGTCGGCCCCCCTCGGCCTGATGAGTCGGGGTCCCCACCCCCAGGCCACAAACACGAGGACGGCACACAGAGTGACTCAGAGAACCCCGTGGCCAAGGCGGCGGCGGCGGCGGCATCGTCCGGGGTCCCCGCAGAGAACGGGGAGCAGGTGCGGCTACAGAGGCAGATCAAACGTGACCCCCAGGACCTGCTTCACAACCAGCAGGCCTTCGTCATCGAGTTCTTCGACGAGGACACACCCCGCAAGAAGCGCTCCCAGTCCTTCACACACACCCCGCCCGGGGACCCCAAGGCCGACAAGCGCCGAGGCCCCGGGCCAGCCGACAGGGACCGCCCGGGGGCCCCAGCCCCGGCCCGGGGTCCGGGCAGCAGCTCGGGGCCCCAGAGGGCCAGCTCGCTCAAGCGGGAGAAGACGGAGGAGCGGCTGGGTGGCCCCTCGCCCCCTGCGCGGGCCTCGACCCGCCCCTTTGGCAGCGTGGGGCGCCGCTCCCGCCTGGCCCAGGACTTCATGGCCCAGTGCCTGCGGGACGCCTCCCCGGCCACGCGGCCTGGCCCCGAGAAGGCACCCCCGGCACTGCCCGCCCCCCTGACGCCCCGTGGGGCCAGCCCCGTGACCCCCTCGCCCCCGCCGGGCCCCCCTGCGGACCCCCAGCTGACCAAGGCCCGCAAACAGGAGGAGGAGGACAGCCTCAGCGACGCAGGGACCTACACCATCGAGACGGAGGCGCAGGACCAGGAGGTGGAGGAGGCCCGCAGGATGATCGACCAGGTGCCTGCCCCCGGCGGGGGGGGGGGGCCCGTCTCGGGGCGGGCGGGGGGGCGCGGCGGGGGGCGCGCAGCGGCTCTGACCTGCAGCTCTGCTCTCCCTCCCGGCAGGTGTTTGGCGTGTTCGAGTCCCCTGAGCTCTCCAGGGCATCCTCGGCCACCTATCGCCCTGTCATCAGAGGGGACAGAGATGAGTCTGGGGACGGGACGGCCCAGCGGGTGTCGCTGCTGCCGGAGTCGGCCCCCCGGCCCCCGGGCGTGGCCGCCCACGTAGAGCTCCAGGTGCGCAGACCCAGCTCGGCGGCACCGGCGCCTCATCCCCGTCTGCCCTCTCTGAGCCGGACCCCAGGCCGCGGTGAGGCCGGACCAGACGCGCTCCTGGCTGTCCTGGAGCGCGCGCCCCGGTAGGGGGCCGGCCGTGTGCCCTGGGTCGCATCGGGCACTGGGGTCTGAGCTGCCCTTGGGCAGGGCTGAGCTCAGCTGCCGCTGCTGACCTCAGAGCTGGGCTCAGGCATAGGCAGGTAGCGTGCGGGGCCCCACAGCCCGGGTGAGGCACCGGGGCCTTCTGGCTGCGTGCACAGGGGGTGCAGGTGGCAGGCGTGGAGGCGGCACAGATGGCACAGGTGTTGGGGGGGCTTCCTTTGATGCCCCCCTGGCCTCCTCCCTGCAGGGCCTCCCGGTGCCGGGCTCCCCTGGAGGTCAGAAGTGGGTGTCCCGCTGGGCCAGCCTGGCTGACAGCTACTCGGACCCGGGCCTGGCAGGTAAGTGGCTCCAGGGCTGCAGTGAGGAGTGAGGGGTGGCCAGGGTGGCCTCAGGCCGCTGACCAGGCCAGGGCAATGAGCTCACACCAGCCGCACCTGGAGCAGGGTCGGCCTCCCCTGTGCCCGGGGGCCCGCGGGCCGGCGCCACTGACGGGGCTGCCCTTGTCCCCACAGAGGACGGCCCCGGGCACAGAGCGGGGGACCTCGAGGGGGCCCTGCCTGTGCGCCAGCGGCGACTGCTCCCACAGCTGCCCAGCGACCGGACGGACGGCCCTGCCAGCACTGAGGCCGCCAGGAGGAGCGGGCCTGGGCCGCCAGAGCCGGACGCTGGGCCGGCCAGCCGCCTCTTGTGCCAGGAGGACTTGGAGCCCGACAGCCTCAGCGATGCCAGCGGGTCAGACGGGGGGCGGGGCCCGGAGCCAGGCAGGGGCCCCCAGGAGGGGCTGGTGTGGAAGAGGGGCCGGTGCTCGCCGAGGGCTGCCGGGGAGCCAGCCCCCGGCTCCGTGTTCCCTGGGGACCAGCACGGCGAGGCGGCCTTTCCCCGGAGAACGCCCGCAGCTCCCGGGGAGCCGGAGGGCCCGGCGCCGGCGGCCCTGCCGAGGGACGGCGTCTCTGTCAGCAGTGGCAGCAGGAGGGTCATCCAGCTGCAGACGAGGCGGTCCCCAGAGCCCGAGGGCCCCGCCCAGGCCAAGGAGGCCGCGGCCTTCGTCCGGCAGGAGAGCTTTACCAAGGAGCCGGCCAGCGGCCCCCCGGCCCCTGGCCGGCTCCCAAACATCTCCAGCCACCCCCTGCTACGGGACCTGGCCGCAGCCCGGGCCTCGCGTGCCGCCCCGCACTCCCAGGACACCCAGCAGATCCTGAAGGAGACTGAGACCGCCCTGGCGGCCCTGGAGGCCCGCCTGCTGTCCCCGTCCGCGGCCGAGGCCCCGGGCGAGGCGGGGAGCGCCCGGGGGCCGCCTGAGGACTCCCTGTCTGGGGACTCAGATGTGGACAGTGCCAGCACCGTCAGCCTGCTCAGCGGCAAGAACGGGCCCAGCCTGGCGAGCTCCCAGCTCACGGGGCAGCAGAGGGAGAAGCCGCCGTCCCCGCCGGCGGCGCAGGACCCGGGTGGTGCTGGCCTGAGCAGCACCCGGGAGCGGCTCTCGGAGAGGCTGCACCGCCCGGGGGGCCCCACAGACCCAGGCCGGGCAGAGCCCGCGCGGCGCCTGGCCGCGCGGCGGGGCCAGGGGTCCCTGGACTGGCCCGATGAGGAACGAGGCTCTGGCCTCGCCCACCCGCTTGGCTCAGACACAGTCACCTCGGACCACGAGACCCACTCGGCCCCTGGGATGGGGCGGCCCGGGCCGCGCCGGAAACCCACGGCCCCACCGCCGTCCCCGGCGGCCCGGGAGGAGCAGGGCCGCGTGTCGGCCAGCGCCCAGAAGGTGCAGCAGGTGCTGACCCGCTCCAACAGCCTGTCCACCCCGCGGCCCACGCGGGCCTCCCGGCTGCGGCGGGCCCGGCTCGGGGAGGCCTCGGACACGGAGGCCATGGACAGTGAACGGGGACCCCTGGCCCACCCCGAGCCGGCGGGGCGTCCGGCCACCGAGCAGGCCAAGAAGCTGTCGCGCCTGGACATCCTGGCCATGCCCCGGAAACGGGCGGGTTCCTTCACCGGGCCCAGTGACTCCGAGGCCCCCGCCCGCACCGGCTTCTCGGGCCGCAGCGTCGAGTCGTCCTGCGCCGGCCGCAAGCCCATCCGGGCCGAGGCTCAGGCTGCCGCCCGGAAGGCCACCAGCCCCTCCACGGCCCCCCGCCAGCCCTTCAGCAGGGCCCGCCCGGGCAGCGCCCGGTACTCCTCACACAGTGAGTGCAGGAGCTGGTGGGCAGCGGGTCTGCAGCGTTTGGGGTCTCGGCCCAGGCCCCACGGGAGCCCTCGCCGCTGTGGGCACCCAGCGTGACCCCACGCGGCCCCCGGCCGTCCTAGTGTGAGGGCGGCGGACCCCAACCGTCTCCAGAGCGGGGGCCCCGCCCGTCCCCCGGGTGGGCGGCCCCGTTCCCTGGAGTTTGGGCCCAAGGCTGGGACCCCCGTGTGGGTGAGGCGTGCGTGCCGCTGAGCCGTCCAGGGGGGCCAGGGCCCGGGGGGGGCGGGGTGCCCGCGGCCGCGGGTGTGCAGCTCCGTCCTGGGAGTCCACACCCTATGGCCGGGCCCAGTGCTGCCCGCTACCTGCAGCCCACGTGTGCAGCAAGGAGAGACGGGCCGCGGTGGCCCGCGGCCTCCTGCGCTGGGAGGCCGGACACTCGCGTCCGCTCAGGCGGCTCGCCCTGCCGGGCGCTGGCCCGTGCTCCCAGTGGATGGGTCCGAGGTGTGGATGCTGCTGTTCCTGCCGCCCCCTCCCCAGCCCCGGCTGCTCACAGTCCGGGAGCCGTGGGCCAAGCATGGGCTTCGCGGGAGAAGGGGCAGGCGGCTGAGGGCCACGGCTGCCCCCGCCTCTCCCTCACTGTGCGGTCGCAGCCTCTGGGGGGCGGCCTCGCACACCCTGGAGCTTTGCTGCTGTTGGCGCTGGGGCTGAGGGCTCTGGGGTGCAGGGGGGCCGCTGCAGGTGGCCGCCCTGCGGCCCCCGGCTCTGCCTGCTGGGACCCGGGGGCTGGCCTGGGGAGCTGAGTGCCGCTCTGTTCTGTCCTTGCTTCCGGAACCATGTGCTCCCCCGAGGCACGCGCCGCCGGCAGCAGGGCTCAGACTGCACGTCCACCTCCGAGGAGGAGTACGGCTCCCACCACGGCTCCCCCAAGCACATGCGCTCCCGCGCCTCGACCGCCACGCAGACGCCGCGGGCTAGCAGCTCCACCCGGGCCCGACCCCGGGCCCCCGGCCTCCGGGACACGGACGACGAGGAGGAGGAGCCCGACCCCTACGGCTTCATCGTGCAGACGGCGGAGATCGCGGAGATCGCCAGGTGCGCCGCGGCCGGACGGGCGGGCGGTCGGTCCATGGTGCACGCTGGGCCTGGCCGGGGCCGCCCCCGAGGACAGGGCCAGGCCCGGGGGCTGCCTTCCCGAATGGGCTTCACGATGCCCTTCGGGTGGAGAGATGGACAAGGGACAGACAACACGGATATTCCTGGGGGGGCGGGGGCTTCTGGGGTGAGAAAGGCCTCCAAGATTGCTATTTTTTTTTAATTTTTAAAAATATTTTATTTACTCTTAAAACGGGAGGGAGAAAGAGAGGGAGGGAAACATCCATGTGTGGTGGCCTCTTGCGCGCCTCCTCCTGGGGACCTGGCCCACAGCCCAGGCCTGTGCCCTGGCTGGGAATCGAACCGGCGACCCTCTGGTCCGCAGGCCAGCGCTCAGTCCACGGAGCCCCGCTGGCCAGGCACGGCTGTCACTAAAGGTGCACTCCCTGGTGCAGTGGCTGAGTGCAGGGCCCACCTCCAGACCGGGTGCTGGGGAGGACAGCGCCGGGGCGGGCAGGGGCGGCGGCGGGCCCTTTCCCGAGCAGGGTCCCTGCTCCGCGGCTGGGCCTGCAGCACCGGGGCAGGGGCAGGAGGGCCCTCGGGCTGGGCGGGGGGCGAGTGTCAGTGCCCAAGACGCTGACCTCGACCTGAAGGAGGTGACCAGAGGCAGGTGGCCGGAGGAGGGGGGCAGGGGCCCAGCGCCGGCCCCCAGCTGGGAGGCGCCCACAGCACGGGCCGTCCTTCCCGCCCACTGCAGACTGAGCCAGACGCTGGTGAAGGACGTGGCCATCCTGGCCAGGGAGATCCACGACGTGGCCGGCGATGGGGACTCGCTGGGCCCCCCGGGGCCCGCCCGGAGCCCCTCCCTCAACAACGTGCCGGCTTCAACCATCTCCGCCCGCGAGGAGGTGAGCCGGGCCCTCACTCGGGGGCCTTGGGGGTCGGGGTCCTCACCGAGCCTCCGCCCCCCGAGGCTGACAGTCGCCCTGGGGCACGGCGTCCAGGACCTGCCTGTGTCGGGCCGGGGTATCCTGGGAGCCTGAGCAGGAGGGCTCGGGGTCCCCCCGCCCCCCTATTGTCACAGCGGGGGAGGCGCCGCTCTCTCTCCCCACGTCCTGACCGACGACCCCCCCCTGGGCTGATCCCCCCCCCAGCTGGTGCAGCGCATCCCCGAGGCCAGCCTCAACTTCCAGAAGGTGCCGCCGGGCGCCCTGAACTCTCGGGACTTTGACCAGAACATGAACGACCGCCGGGAGGAGCCCCTGGTCAACAAGCCTCGGCCTCGGAACCGCGAGGAGGCAGGCGCCTGGCACACGCGCGGGGTCCCCGGGCCGGGGCGGCGGGGGCGGCTGTCCCGTGGGAGCAGGCGGGGCAGCGGGGCCCAGCGCTGACGCGCGGCCCTCACAGGTGATCTTCGACAACCTGATGCTGAACCCCGTGTCCCAGCTGTCCCAGGCCATCCGGGAGAACACTGAGCACCTGGCCGAGAAGATGAAGTGAGCGCCCCCTGAAGTGCTGCCGGCTGTGGGAGCCCCGCCGGGAAGGCGCGGGGCGGGTGCCCAGCGGGGCTCCCCTCAGACAGGAACGCGTGCCTGCGAGCCAGGACGGGGCGGGGCCAGGGTCCCCTGAGGCCCAGGGGAGCCGGGGCCCCCACCCCATCCCCTCAGTCCTTCCCGGTCCTGGCCCTGGCCAGGCAGAACTGGGCTCCGTACCAGCCCGCCTTGGTCCTGCTCCGAGCCTCGGGCCCCCTGGGGCACAGGGGGGTGGTCTGGGAAGGGGCTCAGTCCCACATCACCGTTCTCTGCCTGCGCCCACCCCCTACCCCCGGCTGGGCAGGATCCTCTTCCAGAACTCGGGGCGTGCTTGGGAGGACCTGGAAGCCAGAATCAATGCCGAGAACGAGGTGCCCATCCTGAAGACGTCCAACAAGGTGAGGCTGGCCGGCTGGGGACAGGCAGTCCCGCCCGAACCCAGAGTCCCACAGCCACAGGGTTGCAGGGAGGGAGTGGGGACTCGCTGGCGATCCGGGAGAGGTGACCCCTTGGTGGCCTCCTTCCCGCTGCTTCCAGGAAATCAGCTCCATCCTGAAAGAACTGAGGCGTGTTCAGAAACAGCTGGAAGGTGGGTGTGGCCCAGGCCTGGGGTCCCCACTGAAGCGGGGGGGGGGGGGCGGGGGTCCCCAGGACCTTGGGGGGAGAGCCTGGGCGGGTGTAGGGGGCGGGGTGGCGCGGCGCCTCACCCCCCCCCCCGCAGTCATCAACGCCATCGTGGACCCCAGCGGGAACCTGGACCTGCTGACGGCACACAGGGGCTCGGCAGGCCCTGCCCAGCTCGGGAAAGGCCGGCCGGCCGCCCAGAGCCCATCCTCGCCCGCCTCGGCCCTGTCCCTGAGGAGCTTCCCGCCGAGGGCCACCTGCGGGTCCCCCGGCCTCCCTGACCCCACCTTCCTCCCTGACTTCCTCCCGGACTCCGAGAGGTTCCTGATCTAGGGGGCGGGCGGGCGGCCCCATGTGAGCGCGCGCCTCCCGCTCTCCCCTCCCGCTGCCTCGGCCCCTCCCGGCTGCGGCCGGTTCACCACGAAGACCCCACACGTGCCATAGCCCCACGGGCGGACGCCACACCCAGGCCCCCTCAGCTCCCACCCAGCACCCCCGGAGGATTGTCCAGTCCCTGCCCCGCCAGCCTCCTGGCCCAGCTCCTCTTGCGGCCTCTGCCAGGGGCCGTATCACGGGCCTGGCCCCACGCCTCCTGCATCGCTGTCATTTCCGTCTTTAGCTTTCAAGGAAAGAGTCATTTGTTCCGTTCCAGCAGCCTCCCTGCCTCGTGGGCCGGGGCACTTGCTTACCTGTCTTGTCCCTGTGTGCTGGCCAGCCAGGCAGAGGCGGGCCGTCCGTGAGGTCACTGAGTGCCAAACAGGGCGCTGCGAGGGCTCGACGCCCGAGAACTCGGGGATGTGGGCTGAAAAGGGCAGGGCAGGGGCCCAGCACGTCGAGCCTTCGGTGCCAATGCACCTGCGAGCCTGCGAGCGGGCGGGCGGGCCGCCCCAAGCAGCCTACGCCCACGTGCAAGGCCACAACCGCTCACTGCCGGTCCCGGCACATCCGCGTGTGCAGGGCCCCTGCCCTTGGCTTCTGGTGGTCCTGGGCCCGGGGGTGCGAGCGCCAGACCAAAATGGCTGCAGCCGGGCTTCCGAAAGCTCCCGAGGGAACTCGCCGCCCGGGCCCGGTCGCCGGGCGCTGACGGGGCATCTGAAAGCAGCTCGGGCCCCACAGGCGCCCAGTCCCGGGGGCGGGGGCGGGCCCCAGGAGCCGCGTCGATTTCTCAGGATTCTGTCGGCGGGGACGTGCCAGGCGGCCCCTCCCAGGGCCTGTATTCCTGGAGCCTCTAAGCCAAAGAGCCCACGGGTAGGGGGCGCTCGCCTGGCCACTGCGCGCGCGGCGACTGCGGGGAGGCCACGCGGGGACTGGCTCTGTGTTTACATTGGCGTCGGTGCGCAGCCCCGCCCACCTGATGTTTACGTGTGTGAGTGGCCACGGGCCGCCCGGCCCCGCCCCGCGGCGTCCCTTGGGGGCGGTGCTAGCCCCAGGCCCCGCCCCGCATGCCCGCCCGCCGGCCCCGCAGACCCGCCCTGGTCCCGGCTCCGTCCATGCGCCTCCCCCCGCCACACACCCCCGGCCCGGGGTCGCGTACGGTTTTTTTTTTTATTCCTGAACGTGTGCCCCTCCAGCCCTGGGATCGGTAACTTATTTGTCCGGCTTCGCGGAGGCTCCTCTGTGCTTGTCCTCAGGTGGCCTGTCGGTGTCTTTCAGAAAATGGTTATTTTATATGATTTGTCATGGAATTGTTCTAATAAATCATTCTATCACGTGGCAACATCTTGGCGGTGTCGCCTTGGCCTTGTTTCTCGCCGGTGACGTTCGGCTGGGGGATCCAAGGGGTCTCCCTGTCCTGGAAACCGCGTTTTGACCCCCGAGACCAGGGGACGCTGCAGCGCACCGGCGCCACCACCAGGTGGCGGCCTGGGTGAATGAGCAAAGCGGGGAGATTCCAGACGTTCGCTCCTCAAAGAGAAACTCGTTTATTCCAGCGGCTCAGGGCTGCACCCTCCCAGGGCGCCCCTGAAAGGCGGGCTCTGCTGAGCCGGCCCCTCCCCTCGGGTGGCCGTGGAGGGGGCTCTGACCGCCCATGGCGCCGACATCCCCCCACCTGGTGCCTTCAGCCTGCGCCTTCCCCTCCAGGGCAGGCAAGGCCCCACCTCCAGCCGCAGGGGTGACCTCGAGGCCAGAGGGACAAGTGTCCAGCCTGTGAGGAGCCCACAGGGCCAGCCACCAGCAGCACCCGCTCGCCAGGTCACTGGGCCAGCGGGGCAGAGGTCACTGGAGCCTCGGTCACGCCCCCCGCGGGGCCTGCCCCCCACCAGCCTGAGCGGCGCGGCCCCCGCTGCCCGGGGGAGGCCTGCAGGAGACCCGCTGCTGGTCCTCACTCTCCTGGCCCTGCGCGGGCTGCGCTGCGGCGCCGCCGGTGCTTCATTCCTCCAAAGACGCTTTAAGAAGTGAGAAGGAAGTGTTACGTACTCTTAGAGCCAATACGTAATTTGTATCGAGCCAGGAACAGAGAGAGGGCCCACTGACAAAATGGGCAAAGGGCTGAGCGGCCGGCGGGCAGGTGTGAGCGTGTGTCGTCAGAGAAGGGCCCGTCGCTGCCACGAGGACCCCGGCGCCCACTGGGGCCCCCACGGGACGCACCCTCCATGGCCACCAACAGGCGGACGTCCCCCCTGGTGCGCCTGTGCCCGGCGGAGCGCAACGCATGTCCTCCGAAGGCACCGCCTCGGCTCCCTCGGGGAGGAAGGCCGGGACCGAGAGGGTGGTCGAGGGGCTGTCCCCACCTCGGTCCGGATGCGGTGACACGGGCATGCGGCGCGCACACCCCCATCGCGGTGCCCGCTCGGAAGCCCGCGCCGCCCACGCCTGCGACCCACAGCCGGGGGGTCTGAGGACGTGATAAAAGAGACGACCGTGTTAGTGCTGAGGGCCCCCGGTGTCCTCTTGGGACCTTTTAACCACTAGACGGGCCATTTCTGCACCTGCCCCCTCGGCCGGGCTGGCCGGGCTCCCCGGCTCGGCCACACCCTCCCTGGACCCAGCCTCTCGGCACTGCAGGTTTTCTGTATTACGTGTTTCTGTTTCGTTGGTTTCTGCTGTTGCTTATTATTTGTTATGTTGTTTTTATCAGTCAGTTTTCCCCTTTTCCCTGCTGTCTTCCTTTCTCCTGTCCGTCCTGATTTACTGCTGTGCACAGAGGAGCCTCTCGGTGCTTCTGTGTTGAAGGTGCAGCGCGTCTTGGCTTGGCGGCTTGGTGCGCCTCTCGCCAGTTGTGAAAAATCTCACCCATTGTCTCGTCGGAAACCGCTCTGCTCTGCTTCCCACCCTCCTCTCCGTGCCGCGTCCTAGGCCTCCCTCCCGCTCTCCTCTGCGTTTCCGTACCGAGCGGCCCCTGGTGGGCTGAGGCCCCGGCTCCAGCAGAAGCACGTGCGAGTCACCCCCAGAGAAGGCCCAGGGGTGGCCCTCAGGAGCTCCTAGGCTGAGGCGGCCAACGGGGAGCCGCCGCCAGCAGTCGCGAACACGCCGCAGGCGAGCCCAGCACAGGACCACAAGCAAAAATGGAATCGAAAAGGTGGCAAAAAAGCAGAAAGAAGTAAGACATGGCTGGATAGAGTTGGAAAGGCATCGCCTGAAAACTATAATGACTGGAAACAAAGGCTTTAAAAAACATCGCAGCAGGCGAGGCAAAGAGCAGATGGGGCACAGCCGAGCCCAGAACAGGTCGACCGCAGGAAAGACGGGGAGCGTCTGGAGCACAGCGCACGGGGCGCGGGGGTGGAAAATGGGAGGCGGCCAGTGGGCGCAGAGGGCCACGTGGTGGGGTTGGGAGGACCAGGCGCGCTGGGCTGAGTTGTATCACCCCCCGCCCCTGAAAAAGGCCTTGACGCCCAAGGGCCCCGTTCCTTCGAATGGGCCCTTATTTGGAAATACGGGCTTTGCAGACGATCAAGTTAACACGAGGTCAGCAGGGTGGTCCCTGACGCACGTCGCCCAGTGTGCTCATGGAAAGGGGGCGTTTGGACACAGACACAGAGGGGCCAGAGGGCCGACGCCGGGGGCCACCGGCGAGGAGGAGGGGCTGGGAGCAGACGCCCTGTCCCGGCCCACAGAGGGAGCCGGGCTGGCTGGCCCCCGGCGGGGCTCCTGGCCTCCAGAACCAAGACGGTGGACTTCGGTGCCCACGCTCCCCCGTGTCCGGTGCCCTGTGACAAGAGCCCCAGAGGGCTGGGGCGCGTGTCCGCAGACACGGGAGCTTCACGTGCGCCCGCGGGGACCTAGGACAGGAAGCGACACCGGGCCTCCCCGCAGCAGCGCTGAAGGACGGCCAAGACGGCGAGAACGCGTTCGAAGCCGCGGCCTGAGGGCAGAGGCCCTGCACAGTGAGGCGGCAGGTCCCTCGGGGGTGCTGACGGCCGGGGCCCCAGTGCCCGCGGAGGAAGGAGCCGACTGAGGACGCTGCGCCCGGAAAGCCACCCCGCGACGGCGAGGGGGAGGCGGGGGCGTGTTCTCGCTGCCGGAGACCGACCGCTCACCCGCCCGGGGCAAAGAGTGGGCGGCCGAGGGCTGTGCGGCTGGCGAAATGAGCGGTCAGGCTGGTTCTAGAGGGGCGTCCCGGCGAGGACCGGGGCCACGAAGGGGGGACCTCGGGGAAAACGGGCCGTGCGGGGAGATGAACGGGTGAGAACAGGTCATTCTGAACATGCCCTGCCCAGGGAAAACAGCTGTCAGGTGTGTGTGTGCCTTACGGGCCTAAAATAACAATAGTAATAAAGCATCGCGAGAATTTGATAACATGAAGACATCGTTGGCCTAGGAGTGACCACTGGGCTGTGATTTTGTAAAAAAAAAAAAAAAAAAAAAAAAATTTATTTGAGGATTTTATTTTTAGAGAGAGGGAAAGGGAAGGCGAAGGAGAGGGAGAAAACATCCATGTGTGGTCGTCTCTTGCACCCCTCCCCGCCCCAGGGACCTGGCCCGCAACCCAGGCTTGTGCCCCGGCTCGGAATCGAACCGGCGACACCTTGGTTCCAAGGCTGGCACTCAACCCACTGAGCCACGCCCGCCAGGGCAGAAACGAGTTTATTTAGAAATGCATACTAATGTAGTTAGGAGTGAATGTCATTCGTATCCTCCTTTCCTTTAAAATGTCTTCGTAAGAACCCGCGGGGCCGGTGTGAGCGTCCGCGGCGGCGGGACCCCCGTGGTGAGCACGTGCCAGTCCGCTGTGTGCCCTCCCCACTCTCTCCGTGTCTGAGCGTTCTTTCTTCAATCAGGGAAAAAGAGGACGTAAAGTAAGAGAAAGCGTTGCTACACCTAAAACTGACAGTTTGGAATATGAAGGGAATCCTCCAAATCTGGTTGTAAAATGTCAGTGGCTTGATTTAAAAAAGGGTCGAAGACGCGACAGGGCTTCCTGGGGCCGGCCAGCGTGGGGCTGCTCGGTGCCCGTCGCAGCCACCGGCTTGTGACCGGGGTGCCCGGCGCCGCCCTGTGTCGGGGAGGGGCTGCGGCACAGCCTCCGGACGTGCCCGGGTGTCACCCTGGGGGGCGAGGGCAGCACACCTGGTGGCAGAGAAAATGGGCAGGCGTCCAGGGACCCAGCCAGAGAGCAGAGGCCCCCCTGGCTGTGCCCTGGAGATGACCCCACGGCCGGACCGGGCAGCGGGTCCAGGGAGCCCCCAAAGGGACCCGGGAGGCACCGTTCCCCATTCACTCCCCAGACCGCCCACCCTGGCCCCCCGGTGAACTGCCACCCGCATGAATGGTGGGCGGCCACCCTGAGGCCAGCACCCTGGACAAGGCTCCTGCAGCCCCTGCCCTGAGTGGGAGCTTACAAGGGGGAGCTGGGGCAGACACCCCGACCTTATTCAAAGTGAGAGGGCTGTTCGGAAGGTGAAGTCTGTGTTCAGGGGGCCCCGCAGGAGCGGGGAGGGGGAGGCAGTGCCCATTGCCGGGGCCGAGAACTGGCTGCGTCTAGCCAGGCCTGCCTTGTCAGACGGGCCTACGCCCAACCCCACCTGCTTTCTCCAGGATGGAGTGCCTAGCTGCCTGTTTCCCAGCATCCCTTGCAGCTACATGCAGCCATGTGACTAAGTTTTAGATCAAGAAACATAAATAGAAGTGCCCTGTGCCCTGTGAGACTTCCAGGAAGTCTGGGATAGCCTTTATGTTCTGCTAGGAACACAGAGGTGATGGCTGAGCTCAAGCAGCCCTTGTGGGGCCATGAGGCTGCTTGGGAGCAGCTGAGAGCCAGAGGGACCTGGCCCCCACGGCTGTGGGGCCAACGCCATCTCTGGGCCACCAGGCTCTGACCCTGGTCAGTGTGAGAGAGACATACCCAACCTTACTTGCAAGAGCCACAGTTCCTTGGGTCCCTGTGGGTGCATTGAACCTCACTGGTACGCAGGTCCCTGTCTGGAGTATGTCCGCCTGGGGCGGCAGAGGGAAGAGGGATTTCTCCCCGAGGGGAAGTTCTCGGCCCCGCCCTCGAGCTGGCCGACCCCCCTCCAGGGGTCATCTGCCAGGAGTGCAGAGGGCGGTCCTCGGGGCTAAGAGGAAGTGGCCCGGGGAAGCAGAGGCTGCAGCAGGGAGGCAGGTGGGCAGCCGCCGGGGCTGGAGCTGAGATGGGTGCCACGGCAGACCCCCCCGAGGTGAGTGACAGGAGGCTGGGCCTGGCGGGAGCCTGGCCGGGCGCCCTGGGAGGGGGGCTCTGGTCCCCTCCCCGCCCCATGCTGCCTGCAGCCCCAGGCCCAGGGCGCCACAGAGGCCCCAGCCGGGCCCGCGCACCACCTGTTCCTCCCCGGCTGCAGCCGAGCCGAAGGGTCTCCTGGCGCCGGCAGCAGGCCCTGCCCCAGCCTGGGCCCCGTGCCCGAGGGCAGGGTGTCCTGCACCATCAGCACCCGAATCTCTGGCGCCTGCAGAGGCCACGGCTCCCCACACAGGGCTGGGGGGCCAGCTGTCTTGGGGGGTCCTCCAGTTCACTGGCCCTGAGATACCAGTGCTGGCGGGCCACCCGCTCTGCACAGCCGGCCCCATCCGAGGGACGCACGGGTCCCGGGGGCTGCAGTGTGCACGCCTGGTGGCCAGCGCTCCAGTTCCCACGGGGTCTCAATGGCCATGAGCCGGAGCCCACATGTCCTGGGTGGGCGGCCTGGGCGGTGGGTTGGGGGGCTCCAGGCCGCAGACCGGGCTGCACCCCGACCCGCCTGTGTGCCGGTAGCCCCGAGGGGACAGGCCCTTTTCCCGTGGGGTGCAGAGCCGGGAGCCTTCGAAGGACGGCCCTGGCAGCCTGTTCCACACCCCCAGCCCCGAGGCATCACGCTGACAACCTGTCCTGAGAGGCAGTGGAGGCCCGATGCTGGGCCCCACATCCTTCCTGGGAGGGGCACGGACCAGCTCCCAAGCTCCACTCTGCCAGGTCCGGGGCAGTGCCCCGAGGCCTTGACTCCCTCCTGGGGGCTTCCCGGTGGGGAGGGGTGCCAGCCCTTGGGGACTCTAGCAAGGTCCCCTCTCTCGCTCTGGTTCCCTCCCTGCGATGCTCCGGATCAGGGCAGACCCAGACCCCGGCGCGGCCGCCCCGTGCCCCATGCCCCTCGCTACGGCAGGCGGGTGTCCCACGCGGGGACAGCCCCAGAGGGGCCTCAGGGGCTCGAGGCAGAGCGGGCCGGTCGCGGCCACAGGCGTGTTGTGCGGCCCCCAGCCCCAGGCAGCATCTCGGGGCCCTGCTTCAGCCCCCAGCCCCCCATAGCACGGTGGGGCCCCTGGCTCAGCCCCCACGGGGCCCCTCTGCCCTCTCCACCCAGCATCTTCGCGGCAGAACAAGGACCGCAGCCGCTCGGCGGGGGAGGGGCCCAGGGGCCCAGCAGGGAAGGAAAGTGGCTATTTATAGGCCTGAAACGAGGGCCAAGCTGGAAAGCAGAACTGATTCTCACACTCACTTGCCGTCGTGGTTGAAACAAGGAACTGAGACCCTGACACCCAGACACCTACCGAGAGGGAGGCCGAGGGGCGAACGCACAGCCGGCCAGGCACACGCAGACGCACAGGCACACGCAGAGGCAGATGCACACAGAGAAACAGACGTGTGGAGATACACGGACACACGAACACAGGCTCGGACACACGAACACAGGCTCGGACCCACACTCGTGCAAGGCCAGGGGCCGCTCCTGCCGGTTGAGGCCGCGGCAGGGGCGGCAGCGTGGAGCCTCGCAGCAGGCAGTGACCCGGGGCAGGGACGGGGCAGCCCCAGGGGTTTCGGCAGGTGCCTGTAGGGCGCCCACAGGGGGGTCCCTGGTGCCCAGCTGCCCGGCACTGTGGCCAGGGCTGCAGGTGACACCAGCCCGCCCCCGCAGGTGCTGAGTCCTCCACAGAGAGCGTTGGCGGCCCCCGCGTGGCCCTACCCCACGCCGCCCCCCGGCCCACGGAGCAGAGACCTGAGGACGGTAGGTCTGGGGCTGACGGCGGGACGCAGCAGCCTGCGGGGCCACGGGCGGAGCCATGCGGGGGCTACTCCACATCTGCCCGCACCCGCCGCGCGAGGCCTGGGGCAGCCAGCGCAGCGCCCCCGCCCGGCCCGCCTCAGCCGTAGGCCTCGCCCCCCGAGGGAGCACGGGACCCCAGGCGACGCTTTCTCCAGTTGCAGGTTCTGGGGACACTGGCCATGCTGTGGCTCGGTGGCGTGGCTCTCATCTACCTCCTGTGGCGAGCACCCCATCTGCCCGCCGGGGCCCTGGACTGTGGCCCCAGCCCAGCCCGGGGGCCCCTGTCGGGGGAGGACCGGCAGCAGCGGCCAGAGCCCTGTCAGTGAGTGAGCCTGCGGGGTCTACAGGGGGCCAGGCCTCAGCCCCGGGCAGCAGGGTCCCCGCCCCCACTCCCCTGCCGGGGAGCCCCTGTCGGAAGGAGCAGGCTCCCAGGAGGGAGGCGGGGAGCCCGGGGGGCGGCCGGACTGGGTGGGGTGGGGTGAGGTGGGGCTGGGGATGCGGGGGCTCCGGGGGCTCTTTGCAGCAAACACAAGGCGCCGCCGGGGGCTCTGACAAGGCAGGGGGTCCCAGTCCCGCCGGGGCCAAGGCATGGCAGCCCCAGAGCCCGGCCCTGGGGGCGGGGCCGCCCCTGCCTGTGGAGGCGGGGGCTCGCCACCCCCCGGCCAGGCCTGCCGCCTCCGAGGGCCCCACGCCAGCTCCGGGGGCTGCAGGGCAGCATCTGGGACTGGGTCGGGCAGGGCCCCCAGGCGGCCCAGCTCAGGCCCCCCCCCGACACCCCCGCCCCCGCTCCCGGCTCCCGGCTGTCCCCGCCCACTGCAGGCCTGCGGGGCTCAGGCCCACACTGCCCAGGCCGGTGGCTGCCCCGGCCTGGGCCCCGCCCCGGGCCGTGTTGGCAGCAACCTCTGGGTTTGGCCCCGTGGACGGGGCGGGTGGCAGGAGGCGGGCTGGCAGCTCGGGAGCTCACGCTGGGGCCCCGCTGGCTCCGCCGCAGGCTGGCCCTCGTAGAGAGCTCCCCGCAGGACCTGCCCTTTGCGGCCGGCAGCCCGTCTGCACAGCCCCTGGCCCAGGCCTGGCTGCAGCTGCTGGACACCGCCCGGGAGAGCATCCACATCGCCTCCTACTACTGGTCCCTCACGGGCCCCGACATCGGGGTCAACGACACGTCGGCCCAGCTGGTGCGCATCCCGCCCCCCACGAGCCAGGCTGCCCATCGCTCCGCCTCGGAGCTGGGGCGGTCAGGGGGGCCCGTCCGCGGTGGGGGCGGCCGGGGCCACTGCTCACCGCAGCCCGGGCCCACAGGGAGAGGCCCTCCTGCGGAAGTTGCAGCAGGCCCTGGACAGGAACGTGTCCCTGGCTGTGGCCACCAGCCACCCGACGCTGGTCAAGGGCTCCACCGACCTCCAGGTGCTGGCAGCCCGAGGTGGGTGCCGCCCCGGCCCTGCGCCAGGGTGGGCACGGGCTGGCTGCCGGGTTGGGGGCAGGGACCAGACAGCGGAGCCGGGAAAGCCCTGCACTTCCCCGGGACACCAGCGGGCAGGAGCTCGGGCCACAGCCTCAGTTTCCCCGCCCATACGACGGGTGTGACAGCCGGGCGTGGGGGTGAGCGGGCCCCCGGGCAGCGGGCTCACCTGCCTCCTGGACCCACGCCCGGCCAGGTGCCCAGGTGCGGCGCGTGCCCATGGGGCGGCTCACCGGCGGCGCCCTGCACTCCAAGTTCTGGGTCGTGGACGGGCAGCACATCTACCTGGGCAGCGCCAACATGGACTGGCGGTCCCTGACGCAGGTGGGTCCCGGCCCGGGGCGCCCCGCCCCACTCCAGGAGCTTTGCCTGGCGCCCCCACAGCCGGCCACCAAAGGGCAGCCCAGGCGGCACAGCTGCGCTGCCCCTCGTCACGGCGCAACCCGGGCGGGCGGGTGCGCGGGTCCCAGAAGCCTCGTGCCACCAAGCGCGTGCGTGGGGCCGCGTTTCACGGTCGCCATGCCCGGGCAGACTCTTGCCCACCCCACACCCGGACGCCCCCTCCGCATTAACCCCGTCAGAGTGGCAGTGGGGAGGCAGGCAGCCTGCTCTGCGCGGACAGTGGAGACGGAGGTTTTCTTTCCTCTTTGTGCCTTTGGGCGTTTCCCATTGTTCTTCGGTAATAAGCGCGCATGGCTCTGACCCTTGGAAGCAACGTGCCGGACAAGCAGGACCCGGGCAGCCGCCCCAGCGTCCCTGGCATCTGTCCGTTAGGGGTTCCTACAGCAACACCCCCGGCCCGGCCCATGGCCACCCGCCGCCTGTCCCCGCAGGTGAAGGAGCTGGGTGCGGTCATCTACAACTGCAGCCGCCTGGCCCGGGACCTGGAGAAGACCTTCCAGACCTACTGGGTGCTGGGGGCCCCCAAGGCTGTGCTCCCCAAACACTGGCCTCAGAACTTCTCATCCCACATCAACCGCTTCCGGCCTCTCTGGGCCCGCTTCGATGGCGTGCCCACCTCAGCCTACTTCTCGGTGAGAGGCCTGGCCAGGCCCGCGGGCGCCCTGCTCCACCCGGGCCTGCCCTGCAGCCCTCGCAGCGCCCGCTGGGTCCTCGGGAGCACAGCCTGGCGGGCCAGCGCCCTGGGCGGCCGGGTCTCAGGGGGAGCGGCAGGCCCAGCCCCAGGACAGGGCGCCGCCGTCACCGCCCGCAGCGGAGACAGGTGGCCCGGGCGGTGCCTGGCGATCTCCAGACGCAGTGCCAGGTGCAGGCAAGGGGCTCCCGCTGGCGCCGGGGCGGCGGGGCAAGGGCCAGTTTGCCCTGCGAGCTTGTCACTCGCTGCGGGGAAGGGAGGGGCCCCAGCAGGTGCCCTTCCCTCGGGGTGCAGCCCTCCAGCCGCGGGGCTGGCCCATGGCAGAGACCCGGTGTCCGGGCAGGGACGAGTCCCCCGGCACGGGGCGGCCCCGAGGGGCGGGCAGCCTTGCCGGCGCAGGGGACCGCCTTTCTCGGGGTGGTCAGGGCCAGCCCCGCCCCTCCCGCCTCCAGGCAGCGCCTCGGTCGTCCTCCTGGATCCCAAAAGCTGGGGGGCAGGCCCACGAGGGTCCCCAGGTCAGGAAGCCGAGAGGCTCAGCGCAGGCACCTCTCTGTGCCCTCAGGCATCGCCGCCTGAGCTCTGCCCCCGTGGCCGCACCCGCGACCTGGATGCGCTGCTGGACGTGATGCGGGAGGCCCGGCAGTTCATCTACGCCTCGGTGATGGACTATTTTCCCACCACGCGCTTCGCCCACCCCGCCAGGTAGGGCTGGGCAGCGGGGGCCCTGGCGGGGGGAGCGGGGCCCCGGGCGACCCCGAGGCCTTGACCCCCCCTCCATGCCGCCAGGTACTGGCCAGTGCTGGACAACGCGCTGCGGCAGGCGGCCTTCAGCTGGGGTGTGCGCGTGCGCCTGCTGGTCAGCTGCTGGCTCCACACGGACCCCAGGATGTTCCCTTACCTGCGGTCCCTGCAGGCCTTCAGCGACCCCGCAGCCGGCATCTCTGTGGACGTGGTGAGCAGCCCCCCGCCCCGGGGCCCAGCTGGGGGGAGGCACTGTCCTCTCCTCCGTGACACGCTCCCTCCTTTCTGTCCCCAAAGAAAGTCTTCATCGTGCCCGTGGGGAATCACTCCAACATCCCGTTCAGCAGGGTGAACCACAGCAAGTTCATGGTCACCGAGAAGGCAGCCTACATCGGTGAGCGGCCGCGGGAGCTCGGCGGCAGGGGCGGGCGGGCGGCCTGCGGGCCCTGGAGCCTCAGAGCAGCACCTGGGGCGGGCAGCGCCGGCCACGCCGGCCCACAGGAGCGGACGAGCCCCGGGCCGTCGCCAGCCGGGCGCCGACGGGAGCGCCGCTCCTGGGCCAGAGGGCGGGGCGCTGCGGCCGGGGCCTCGGCGCTGCCCTGAGGACCGCGGGACCCCCCTGCCGTCGCCGGCACCCACAGGCCCAGGCCAGGCACCCAGCGTCTCTTTCCTGCCCCCCACAGGCACCTCCAACTGGTCGGAGGACTACTTCAGCAGCACCTCGGGCGTGGGCCTGGTGGTCAGCCAGAGGGCCTCTGCCGCCCAGCCTGCGCAGCGCACGGTGCAGGAGCAGCTGCGGCAGCTGTTTGAGCGGGACTGGGGCTCCCGCTACGCCATGGGCCTGGACGGACAAGCCCAGGGCCAGGACTGCGTGTGGCGGGGCTAGGCCCCCGCCCCCGGCCTTCCCAGCCCTTGGTGGGCGCTGCTCCCCACCCGGCCCGCCCCTCCCCGTCGGTCCCCCAGCCTGGGCTCCAAGCAGCTCTGCTCGCGCAAGCCGTGGTCAGGGTCAAGGCTGCGCAAGGCCCAGTGCAGCACTAGAAGCTGTTTGCTGCCCCTGCTCTGTAAATACAGCCCCTTAACGGCCACCACCTCCTCCTGGGAGCCCCCCCGGGGCACCTCTGCATGATTCCCACGGAACTGCAATCCTGGCCTCAAGGGGGGCCTTCGGAGCACGTCTGCCTCCCTGTGTCTCTGTGTGCGTCCGGCCGGGGCTGGAGTCCAAAGCCTGACCCTGCGGGGGCTGTGTCCACAAGGCAGCCGGGCGCGGCGGTGCGCACACGTCCTGGGGGCCTGGGGGCGCCCACGCGTGCCACAGCCATGGGCGGGTGGGGAGCGGGAGCAACGGACTGGCCCCCGTGCCCGTGGGGTGGGTGCTGGGCCGCTGCCGGTGCCGCAGGCAGGCCCAGGACTGTGGGGCAGAGCGGACAGGCCCTGGGGCTGGGCGGGGGCACCCCCCGGGCACCGCCGCAGAGCTGGCCCCAAGCGCTGCCCCTGCCCTTCGGTACGGGCGCTGGCCCTGGCTCAGGCCACGAGCTGACTGGAGCTGGGGGCGGGCCCAGGGGTCCGGGGGGCACGGGCGGCGGGGGGAGCCGAGCGAGTGGGCGGCAGAGCCCTGCTCTCCCGCATCCGGGCGGCCCTTCCCGGCCCCGCCGAGGTTCTCTCTGCACCTGCCAGGGCTGGGGGTTGGTGCTGGGCGCCCCCAGCGTCCTCGTCTGGGACGAAGCTCCCTCAGAGCCAGTCTGCCTCCCCGCCCTAATCCGCAAGGACCCGAGGGGGTGCTGGAGGCCCACGCAGCCCCCCGAGGCATCTGGGACGTCGGAGGCCAGTCTGCGTGTGAGCTGCTCTGGCCCAGCCAGGCTGGTGCCGCCCAGCCCTGCCCTGGACCACACACCCCGCGCCCCGCAGCTTCCTCGGCGGCCCGCAGGCAGGGTGCTCTGAGCGCCTGGCGGCAGCCCCCGGCCCCGCCCACGGCCGACGCCAGGCCCGTGCACGTGGGCTCTGGTGGCCACGCCTCCGCGGCAGCCTCAGGCCTGCCCCAGAGCAGACCCGCCCCCAGGAGGCCCGCAGGAGTGCGCGGGGAGGGACCCCGCGGGCCGTGGTGAGGCCCCTTCGGGGTGTGGTGCCCCCCGGAACCTGCCCTGAGCGAGCCCCGCCCCTCGGGGATGGTGAGGGCGGTCCCTGCCTGTGACGGACAGGGTGCACAGGGAGGGAGGGGACACGAGATGGTGACAGCGAGGAGTGTGCCCCGCTGGCTGCCTGAGGGGCACTGAGTGCTGCCCGGGTGGGACGCGGAGGCCACGTCACCCGGTGTCGCCCACCCTGGGAGCTCGGACCCTGGGAGCTCGGACGCGGCCCCTTCCCTAGTCAGGTCCGGAGAGGGGTCCGCGGTCCTGCGGGCGTCACCTGGGCCCCAGCCCGTGGGACCCCGCGGGGGGCCGGCTGAGCCGTGCTGGGACTCCTCCTGACCCACAGCAACAGGGAGAGCACAAAGGGGTGTCGTTTCAAACCTTAACGTGCGGTGATTTCTTACACGGGGCAGACAACTCGCACCAGGGAGCACAGGCGTGCCGGCCACAGCCCCCCGCGGCCCCTGTGGCGCCGAACCAAGGCCCCAGCGTCGCAGGCCTTCACTCGAGGTTCCCAGGGAGACGGAATCCGAGGCCAGGCAGCCCCCCGACCGGCGTGCTCAGGGGACGCCCAGGTCAGGCAGGGAGACGGGGAACCGTGGCGCTCGCTTGACAGCCGAGGCCCCGCCGACTTCCCCTTCACGCACCAGCCACTCAGGAACCTGGCGTCAGCTCGCTTTCTGGAAGGTTCCATGCCCCCTAACGCGGATGGCCTTCGCAGCCCACAGCGGTGCAGGGAGGGACCCAGCCTTGCTCCGCCCGAGCTCTGGCTCCCGGTGGACTGCGCCCTCCGGCCGACGCAGGGCCCCACCGCTCCCCGCTGCTGGGCCGGGCTCCTCGGAACACATCTGCCCGTGAGCCCAGGGGAGACGTGGCCACTGTAGGAACCCCTTGCGCCCCCCGTGGGCCGCCTGGAGGAGGCCGTGTCCCTGCCACACTGCTGCTGGTCTCCCGCGCGCTGGCTGACAGGGTTCTGGACAGACAAGTGGGCCCAGTGGACAGCCCCCCGAGCCCGCCCTGAGCCCGCCTGCTCCCCAGGGGGCCTGGGACCGGGACTGCGTGTGTGTGTGGGGGGGCGGGGGCGGGGCCAAGCGACGGCGCTTCCCAGAACAAAAGCCCTCGCAGCCTTGCTGTGGGTGCACCGCATCCTTTATTGCCTGTCGGGGACAGTGGGGCGGGGGGAGCACCCAGGGCTGCGTGTGCACTGGGGGGCTGGGGGTGCGCGGGCACGGCGACCCCGGACACAGCCGCCCTGGCCGCCGCCGGCTGCCCCGCCTCCGTGCCTGCCACAGGAAGCCCCCGAAGCTTGGCCTCATGGGCCGGTCAACAGCAGAGCGAGCTGCTCGTGAGCACACAGGCAACGGGGTTCCCAGGAACATGCCGGACTCCGCCTGGAACAGGGAAGCCCCGTCGGCCGGGCAGCAGCAGCAGGGCGGGGACCGCCCCCCACCCTTGCGCCCCATCCTCCAAACAGCAGTCTGTCCGGGCGCGTGAGGGCAGGTCCCCGGAAGCTTATTGGCGAAGCCGCCCCCAGCAGCCCTTGGGGAGCAGGCTGCCCGCGCGGCCCCGGCATCCCTGCCTGCCAGAGGGATGCCTGCGCGGGGGACACCCTCGCTCGCTGGCTTCGTGCCTCTGTCCCCCCTGGAGAGCCACAGCTGCGGCCTCACTTGGTAGCGGGCTCAGCGCTGGCTTTTCGGCCCGGCTTCAGCCTGGCTAAGTTGCTCTCGCCGCGGACCTCCCGGCGCTGGGGGCGGGCCCGGCGCCTGCAGCCTCAGTGGACTCCCCATCCTCCTGCTCCTCCACGGAGAAGCTTTCTCGGGCATCAAAAAAGGTGACCGCTTCTTCCTGGAGCTTCGGCTCCTCCAGACCTGCCTCGTCGTCCCCAGCACTTCCCCCCTTCTTGCTGGGAGAGGAGGAGAACCCTAACTTGGGAAATCGGAACCAGCCGGCCTTCTCGGGCTTCTTCGGAGGCTCCGCGCCGGGGCGGGCCTCGGGCTGCGTCTGGATGGGCGCAGGCGGAGCTGGGGTTGGCGCGGCTTCTGCGGGGCCAGCGCTCGCGTCACCCACAGAGGAAGAAAACCCAATGCTCGGGAGCCAAAACCTGAACCGGCCGGAGGGCCGTTGGCTCCCAGCCTTCTCTGCGGGGGCCCCATCGTCATCTGGGCCGACGTCAGGGGTGAGTTCGAGGATTTCCGCAGGCTCCTCGTCCGAACAGCTGTCTGCAAGCTGGGGGCCCGAGCGCACTTCACACGCCGACGTCGGTGGGCCCGGCACGTGGGCGCTGGAAGAGAGGATCTCAAACGGTTCTCCAGCGTCAGGCGGGAGTGCTCTGCAAATGGGCTCAGCTCCTGGGGCCGCCTGCCTGGCAGCTGCTGGCAAGCCCGCAGGGGCCTGAGCGTCCAGAGAGACCAGGTGCACCTGCGCCTGCAGCGGTACCTCCAGGATCTTGCCCTTCAGCAAAGAGAACCCGTAGGAAGGTGTCTGGATGTGGGAGGCTGGCACCTGCGCCTCACGCACGATCTGAGTGGAAAAAGCCTCCGGGCCCGGCAGGTCGGCGAGATCTGCTGCAACCCCACTGTGTCCGGTGACCTCTTGGCCCTCGACCCCAGCGCCTTGAATGTGCACCCTGACCTTGGAAACGGGGGAAGCATCTGAGGGGAGGTCAAGGGCCACGGGCTGCTGCCCGGGGGCCCCAGCGCTTGCCTTCAGGAAGCTGGTGCTCCCGACGCCGGGGCTGTCCTCACGCAGGGCCAGGCCCCGGCCCCAGCTGCTGTCCCTGCACCACACCTCGCTCGTGGCTGGGACACAGACACCGGCCTCAGGGCCGGGGGCCGGGAAGGTGAACCTGGGCACCTTTAACACGGGGAACTTGACAGTGTGCACAGAGCCCGCCCAGACCTGCCGCACGTCGATGATGGAGACCTGGGCCGGCAGGTCGGTCCTGGAAGCCTTCAGCGTAAGAGGGCCTTCGGGTGGGCAAGGCTGGCGCTCCGCTCTCCCGGCACCCCCGGCAGAGGTCTCGACTGCTTCGCCCGGAGGAGCGTGGGTTTTGGAAGGTCTCCCTCCAGCCACCTGCCGGGGCAGGGAGCCGTCGCGGGGGCCAGGCCTGGCGCGCTCAGCAGCAGGGAGCTCGTCCGAGGACACTGTGGCGGGGGGCAGGCACGGCTGCCAGCCTCTGCTGTCGAGGCTTGGCCTTAACGCCTCTCCCTCTGCCTCTGGGGGCGGTGGGGACGCAGGTGCAGCCACCTCTGACCCAGGGGCACAGACCCCGGGGCTTGTGACTGTAGCTGCTGCCTCTGTGTCGCGCTGAGTGCCGGGCCCGGCAGCGGCACCCCGCTCCTTGGAGGAGCGCCAGAAACTGGGCAGGCGGAGCGAGGGCATCCAGAACCAGCTGTCCTGTGAGCTGGCCGGCTCGGCTCCTGCTGCCGCATCCCTGTCCATGATTCCCACTGCGGGGGCTGCGGGGGCTGCGGGGCTACTGGCTGCCTGGAGGGGGGCTTCTGTGGAGGGGGCTGCCGCCGCCCCCAGAGGCTGGCTGGCTGAGCCAGCCCCAAGCCCATGCCCCTCGCTGCCCTCTCCAGGAGACAGGCCGTGTGCCGGCGGGGGAAGGCCACCTGCAGCCGGGCTCACCGCCACCGGGGCTGGCGGGGGAAGGTCAGGCTCGGCAAAGCCCCCACTGGGGCGGAGGGCCTGCGGCAGGGGGGCATCGGTGCCCGCTCTGTCCAGGGGGCCAGATGCGGGGCCCCTGCCACTGGCAGCGCCCTCGGCGCTGACCCCCGTGACGGCATGAGGGGCCAGCCCTGCGGCGGAGCCAGTGGCGCTGCCAAGGGGAGGCTCCGGGTCCCCGCCCTTGGAAGGCTTCATTTTGGGCAGTACCAGTTTGGGCGCGGCAAAGCCGGACGTCTTCACTCTCCCCTTCTCTCCGTCCATGTCAGGAGGTACATCCCCGGGGGCACTAGGCCCACCTGCTGCAACAGCTGGCCTCTGTCCAGGGTCCGCTTTGGGCACCGCCTCCTTCTTTGGAGACCGCCGGAGGGACGGGAGCCGGAGACGCGGCATTTTTAGGGAGCTGCTTTTCCCATCACGCTCAGTGTCTTCAGCTGGGCCCCTACCTGAGGCCACTGCTGATGGCTTAGCACAACCTGTGGGGTCTTCTGTCCCCTCGGACACAGAGACACTGGCGCATGGTGGCTGCGTGCCTGACCACCAGCTCACAGCGGCTTCCCCGGAGTCTGGTCCCCACACTGGACTAGTGGGAGACAGGGCCCACCCCCCGGCCTGTGGCTTGTCATCGGCCGATGAGGTCTCGGGGCCTGGGAACCTGAACTTGGGTCGATGGAATTTAGGAAAAGTCACCTGGCCACCAGACGTGCCCACCAGCGCATCCACCGGGCCTGGGTGACTGCCCGAGGACAAAGGGACACTCTCCCAGGACGGGGGTTCTTCAGAGCACCCTGTGCTGACGTGCTGAGCTGCCCCCTGGGTCTCAGAAGGGGCTTCCTCAGGAAGCTCCGCAGAGGCAGGGGCTGTGGGGGGGGTCACCTGGTATTTTGTAAGAATGACCCTCTCCCATGAATGGATGGCAGAGGGCTCGGCACGCTGACCACTGATATGGAAGCTGCCGGACGAAGCACTGGGCCAGCCCAGTCGAGACATGCGCACAGAGGGCTCCTGAGGACCCCCAGACGCCCCGACACACGTGCCAACAGCCAGGCGTGTAGTGGCCGCGGCAGACGCAGGGCCAGACTCGGGGCCGCCTTCAGCAGCACTGGGGATCTGAGGCGACTTTTCAGGAGCAGAAACCACCTTGGATTTTCTAAACTGAGGTTTCTTCATTTTGCTCTTTTCTAAAGTTTGGTGGCCTGAACAGGACCCATCAAGATCGACGATGGAAAGAGAATAATCAGCTGGACCCACGGGGTCAAGGGAGTCGACTGGAGCGGAGCCTGGTTCAGCAGGAATTGCGCCACCAGGAATTTCAGACTGCAACACAGCCTTACTAGATGAGGACCTAAAAAAAGGCATGCTGACCTTCGGCAACTTGAACTTGCTACCCTTGACGGCACCTTCCTTGCTGACGAAAATGATGTCCCCCTCCTGCGTGGTACTATGAGCCTGTAGATCCTCCTCAACGCCGGGAACCGACACCCGCACGTCGGGGCCGGTCAGCTCGCCCTTGGCGCCCCTCACGTCCAGCTTGGGCCCCTTGATGTCCACCTGGGGGCCCCTGAAGTCCACTTTCGGCATCTTGATGCTGGGCATCTGCACCTTGGGCAGGTGGCCCTTGAGTCCGGCTCCGGCGGCGGGGCCCTGGAGCTGGCCCTCGGGCAGCTGGCCCGCGGGCAGCCTCACGCCCAGCTCGCCGGCCTTGACGTCCACGTCGGCAGAGGGCAGCTGCACGCTGAGGTCACTGGTCTTCACGTCGGCCTGCAGCGAGGGCAGCGACACGTCCACCGAGGCCTCGAGGGGCTTGCCGGCCGCCGACACGCCGAAGGACGGCATCTTGAACTTGGGCATCTTGAACTTGCTGGCCCCCTCCTTGTCCCCGAGGCCGACGTCGCCCTCCAGCGTGGCGCCGGGCGCCTGGATGTCCAGCTCCACGCCGGGCAGCGACGCCTCCACGTCGGGGCCGGTCACCTCGCCCTTGGCGCCCCTCACGTCCAGCTTGGGCCCCTTGATGTCCACCTGGGGGCCCTTGAAGTCCACATTCGGCATCTTGATGCTGGGCATCTGCCCCTTGGGCAGGTGGCCCTTGAGTCCGGCTCCGGCGGCGGGGCCCTGGAGCTGGCCCTCGGGCAGCTGGCCCGCGGGCAGCCTCACGCCCAGCTCGCCGGCCTTGACGTCCACGTCGGCAGAGGGCAGCTGCACGCTGAGGTCACTGGTCTTCACGTCGGCCTGCAGCGAGGGCAGCGACACGTCCACCGAGGCCTCGAGGGGCTTGCCGGCCGCCGACACGCCGAAGGACGGCATCTTGAACTTGGGCATCTTGAACTTGCTGGCCCCCTCCTTGTCCCCGAGGCCGACGTCGCCCTCCAGCGTGGCGCCGGGCGCCTGGATGTCCAGCTCCACGCCGGGCAGCGACGCCTCCACGTCGGGGCCGGTCAGCTCGCCCTTGGCGCCCCTCACGTCCAGCTTCGGCCCCTTGATGTCCACCTGGGGGCCCTTGATGTCCACCTTGGGCATCTTGATGCTGGGCATCTGCACCTTGGGCAGGTGGCCCTTGAACCGGGCCCCGTCGGCCCTGCCCTTCAGCTCGCCCAGCGCCACCTCTCCCTCGGGCAGGGCCACCTCCAGCTCGGCCCCCGGCAGCTCCAAGTCCGCGGACGGCAGCTGGACGCCGCCCTCCGGGGCGCGCACCTCGCCCGCCACGGCGGGCAGGCTCACCTCCGCCGTGGCCTTGGGCGCCGGCACGTCCACGGACGTCCCCAGCTCCTTGCCGGCCGCCGACACGCCGAAGGACGGCATCTTGAACTTGGGCATCTTGAACTTGCTGGCCCCCTCCTTGTCCCCGAGGCCGACGTCGCCCTCCAGCGTGGCGCCGGGCGCCTGGATGTCCAGCTCCACGCCGGGCAGCGACGCCTCCACGTCGGGGCCGGTCAGCTCGCCCTTGGCGCCCCTCACGTCCAGCTTCGGCCCCTTGATGTCCACCTGGGGGCCCTTGATGTCCACCTTCGGCATCTTGATGCTGGGCATCTGCACCTTGGGCAGGTGGCCCTTGAGTCCGGCTCCGGCGGCGGGGCCCTGCAGCTGGCCCTCGGCGCCAGCTCGCCCGCGGGCAGCCTCACCCCAGCTCGGCCCCGGCCTTGACGTCCAAGTCGGCAGACGGCAGCTGCACGGCTGAGGTCACTGGTCTTCACGTCGGCCTGCAGCGAGGGCAGCGACACGTCCACCGAGGCCTCGAGGGGCTTGCCGGCCGCCGACACGCCGAAGGACGGCATCTTGAACTTGGGCATCTTGAACTTGCTGGCCCCCTCCTTGTCCCCGAGGCCGACGTCGCCCTCCAGCGTGGCGCCGGGCGCCTGGATGTCCAGCTCCACGCCGGGCAGCGACGCCTCCACGTCGGGGCCGGTCACCTCGCCCTTGGCGCCCCTCACGTCCAGCTTGGGCCCCTTGATGTCCACCTGGGGGCCCTTGAAGTCCACTTTCGGCATCTTGATGCTGGGCATCTGCACCTTGGGCAGGTGGCCCTTGAGTCCGGCTCCGGCGGCGGGGCCCTGGAGCTGGCCCTCGGGCAGCTGGCCCGCGGGCAGCCTCACGCCCAGCTCGCCGGCCTTGACGTCCACGTCGGCAGAGGGCAGCTGCACGCTGAGGTCACTGGTCTTCACGTCGGCCTGCAGCGAGGGCAGCGACACGTCCACCGAGGCCTCGAGGGGCTTGCCGGCCGCCGACACGCCGAAGGACGGCATCTTGAACTTGGGCATCTTGAACTTGCTGGCCCCCTCCTTGTCCCCGAGGCCGACGTCGCCCTCCAGCGTGGCGCCGGGCGCCTGGATGTCCAGCTCCACGCCGGGCAGCGACGCCTCCACGTCGGGGCCGGTCAGCTCGCCCTTGGCGCCCCTCACGTCCAGCTTCGGCCCCTTGATGTCCACCTGGGGGCCCTTGATGTCCACCTTCGGCATCTTGATGCTGGGCATCTGCACCTTGGGCAGGTGGCCCTTGAGTCCGGCTCCGTCGGCCGGGCCCTGCAGCTCGCCCAGCGCCACCTCTCCCTCGGGCAGGGCCACCTCCAGCTCGGCCCCCGGCAGCTCCAAGTCCGCGGACGGCAGCTGGACGCCGCGCTCCGGGGCGCGCACTCGGCCGCCACGGCGGGCAGGCTCACCTCCGCCGTGGCCGTGGGCACCGACACGTCCACGGACGTCCCCAGCGCCTTGCCGGCCGCCGACACGCCGAAGGACGGCATCTTGAACTTGGGCATCTTGAACTTGCTGGCCCCCTCCTTGTCCCCGAGGCCGACGTCGCCCTCCAGCGTGGCGCCGGGCGCCTGGATGTCCAGCTCCACGCCGGGCAGCGACGCCTCCACGTCGGGGCCGGTCAGCTCGCCCTTGGCGCCCCTCACGTCCAGCTTGGGCCCCTTGATGTCCACCTGGGGGCCCTTGAAGTCCACTTTCGGCATCTTGATGCTGGGCATCTGCACCTTGGGCAGGTGGCCCTTGAGTCCGGCTCCGGCGGCGGGGCCCTGGAGCTGGCCCTCGGGCAGCTGGCCCGCGGGCAGCCTCACGCCCAGCTCGCCGGCCTTGACGTCCACGTCGGCAGAGGGCAGCTGCACGCTGAGGTCACTGGTCTTCACGTCGGCCTGCAGCGAGGGCAGCGACACGTCCACCGAGGCCTCGAGGGGCTTGCCGGCCGCCGACACGCCGAAGGACGGCATCTTGAACTTGGGCATCTTGAACTTGCTGGCCCCCTCCTTGTCCCCGAGGCCGACGTCGCCCTCCAGCGTGGCGCCGGGCGCCTGGATGTCCAGCTCCACGCCGGGCAGCGACGCCTCCACGTCGGGGCCGGTCAGCTCGCCCTTGGCGCCCCTCACGTCCAGCTTCGGCCCCTTGATGTCCACCTGGGGGCCCTTGATGTCCACCTTGGGCATCTTGATGCTGGGCATCTGCACCTTGGGCAGGTGGCCCTTGAACCGGGCCCCGTCGGCCCTGCCCTTCAGCTCGCCCAGCGCCACCTCTCCCTCGGGCAGGGCCACCTCCAGCTCGGCCCCCGGCAGCTCCAAGTCCGCGGACGGCAGCTGGACGCCGCCCTCCGGGGCGCGCACCTCGCCCGCCACGGCGGGCAGGCTCACCTCCGCCGTGGCCTTGGGCGCCGGCACGTCCACGGACGTCCCCAGCTCCTTGCCGGCCGCCGACACGCCGAAGGACGGCATCTTGAACTTGGGCATCTTGAACTTGCTGGCCCCCTCCTTGTCCCCGAGGCCGACGTCGCCCTCCAGCGTGGCGCCGGGCGCCTGGATGTCCAGCTCCACGCCGGGCAGCGACGCCTCCACGTCGGGGCCGGTCAGCTCGCCCTTGGCGCCCCTCACGTCCAGCTTGGGCCCCTTGATGTCCACCTGGGGGCCCTTGAAGTCCACCTTCGGCATCTTGATGCTGGGCATCTGCACCTTGGGCAGGTGGCCCTTGAGTCCGGCTCCGGCGGCGGGGCCCTGGAGCTGGCCCTCGCGCAGCTGGCCCGCGGGCAGCCTCACGCCCAGCTCGGCCCGGCCTTGACGTCCACGTCGGCAGAGGGCAGCCTCGCACGCCTCGAGGTCACTGGTCTCACGTCGGCCTGCAGCGAGGGCAGCGACACGTCCACCGAGGCCTCGAGGGGCTTGCCGGCCGCCGACACGCCGAAGGACGGCATCTTGAACTTGGGCATCTTGAACTTGCTGGCCCCCTCCTTGTCCCCGAGGCCGACGTCGCCCTCCAGCGTGGCGCCGGGCGCCTGGATGTCCAGCTCCACGCCGGGCAGCGACGCCTCCACGTCGGGGCCGGTCAGCTCGCCCTTGGCGCCCCTCACGTCCAGCTTGGGCCCCTTGATGTCCACCTGGGGGCCCTTGATGTCCACCTTGGGCATCTTGATGCTGGGCATCTGCACCTTGGGCAGGTGGCCCTTGAGTCCGGCTCCGGCGGCGGGGCCCTGGAGCTGGCCCTCGGGCAGCTGGCCCGCGGGCAGCCTCACGCCCAGCTCGCCGGCCTTGACGTCCACGTCGGCAGAGGGCAGCTGCACGCTGAGGTCACTGGTCTTCACGTCGGCCTGCAGCGAGGGCAGCGACACGTCCACCGAGGCCTCGAGGGGCTTGCCGGCCGCCGACACGCCGAAGGACGGCATCTTGAACTTGGGCATCTTGAACTTGCTGGCCCCCTCCTTGTCCCCGTGGCCGACGTCGCCCTCCAGCGTGGCGCCGGGCGCCTGGATGTCCAGCTCCACGCCGGGCAGCGACGCCTCCACGTCGGGGCCGGTCAGCTCGCCCTTGGCGCCCCTCACGTCCAGCTTCGGCCCCTTGATGTCCACCTGGGGGCCCTTGATGTCCACCTTGGGCATCTTGATGCTGGGCATCTGCACCTTGGGCAGGTGGCCCTTGAACCGGGCCCCGTCGGCCCTGCCCTTCAGCTCGCCCAGCGCCACCTCTCCCTCGGGCAGGGCCACCTCCAGCTCGGCCCCCGGCAGCTCCAAGTCCGCGGACGGCAGCTGGACGCCGCCCTCCGGGGCGCGCACCTCGCCCGCCACGGCGGGCAGGCTCACCTCCGCCGTGGCCTTGGGCGCCGGCACGTCCACGGACGTCCCCAGCTCCTTGCCGGCCGCCGACACGCCGAAGGACGGCATCTTGAACTTGGGCATCTTGAACTTGCTGGCCCCCTCCTTGTCCCCGAGGCCGACGTCGCCCTCCAGCGTGGCGCCGGGCGCCTGGATGTCCAGCTCCACGCCGGGCAGCGACGCCTCCACGTCGGGGCCGGTCAGCTCGCCCTTGGCGCCCCTCACGTCCAGCTTGGGCCCCTTGATGTCCACCTGGGGGCCCTTGAAGTCCACTTTCGGCATCTTGATGCTGGGCATCTGCACCTTGGGCAGGTGGCCCTTGAGTCCGGCTCCGGCGGCGGGGCCCTGGAGCTGGCCCTCGGGCAGCTGGCCCGCGGGCAGCCTCACGCCCAGCTCGCCGGCCTTGACGTCCACGTCGGCAGAGGGCAGCTGCACGCTGAGGTCACTGGTCTTCACGTCGGCCTGCAGCGAGGGCAGCGACACGTCCACCGAGGCCTCGAGGGGCTTGCCGGCCGCCGACACGCCGAAGGACGGCATCTTGAACTTGGGCATCTTGAACTTGCTGGCCCCCTCCTTGTCCCCGAGGCCGACGTCGCCCTCCAGCGTGGCGCCGGGCGCCTGGATGTCCAGCTCCACGCCGGGCAGCGACGCCTCCACGTCGGGGCCGGTCAGCTCGCCCTTGGCGCCCCTCACGTCCAGCTTCGGCCCCTTGATGTCCACCTGGGGGCCCTTGATGTCCACTTTGGGCATCTTGATGCTGGGCATCTGCACCTTGGGCAGGTGGCCCTTGAACCGGGCCCCGTCGGCCCTGCCCTTCAGCTCGCCCAGCGCCACCTCTCCCTCGGGCAGGGCCACCTCCAGCTCGGCCCCCGGCAGCTCCAAGTCCGCGGACGGCAGCTGGACGCCGCCCTCCGGGGCGCGCACCTCGCCCGCCACGGCGGGCAGGCTCACCTCCGCCGTGGCCTTGGGCGCCGGCACGTCCACGGACGTCCCCAGCTCCTTGCCGGCCGCCGACACGCCGAAGGACGGCATCTTGAACTTGGGCATCTTGAACTTGCTGGCCCCCTCCTTGTCCCCGAGGCCGACGTCGCCCTCCAGCGTGGCGCCGGGCGCCTGGATGTCCAGCTCCACGCCGGGCAGCGACGCCTCCACGTCGGGGCCGGTCACCTCGCCCTTGGCGCCCCTCACGTCCAGCTTGGGCCCCTTGATGTCCACCTGGGGGCCCTTGAAGTCCACTTTCGGCATCTTGATGCTGGGCATCTGCACCTTGGGCAGGTGGCCCTTGAGTCCGGCTCCGGCGGCGGGGCCCTGGAGCTGGCCCTCGGGCAGCTGGCCCGCGGGCAGCCTCACGCCCAGCTCGCCGGCCTTGACGTCCACGTCGGCAGAGGGCAGCTGCACGCTGAGGTCACTGGTCTTCACGTCGGCCTGCAGCGAGGGCAGCGACACGTCCACCGAGGCCTCGAGGGGCTTGCCGGCCGCCGACACGCCGAAGGACGGCATCTTGAACTTGGGCATCTTGAACTTGCTGGCCCCCTCCTTGTCCCCGAGGCCGACGTCGCCCTCCAGCGTGGCGCCGGGCGCCTGGATGTCCAGCTCCACGCCGGGCAGCGACGCCTCCACGTCGGGGCCGGTCACCTCGCCCTTGGCGCCCCTCACGTCCAGCTTGGGCCCCTTGATGTCCACCTGGGGGCCCTTGAAGTCCACCTTCGGCATCTTGATGCTGGGCATCTGCACCTTGGGCAGGTGGCCCTTGAGTCCGGCCCCGGCGGCCGGGCCCTGCAGCTCGCCCTCGGGCAGCTGGCCCGCGGGCAGGCCTCACGCCCAGCTCGGCCGGCCTTGACGTCCACGTCGGCAGAGGGCAGCTGCACGCTGAGGTCACTGGTCTTCACGTCGGCCTGCAGCGAGGGCAGCGACACGTCCACCGAGGCCTCGAGGGGCTTGCCGGCCGCCGACACGCCGAAGGACGGCATCTTGAACTTGGGCATCTTGAACTTGCTGGCCCCCTCCTTGTCCCCGAGGCCGACGTCGCCCTCCAGCGTGGCGCCGGGCGCCTGGATGTCCAGCTCCACGCCGGGCAGCGACGCCTCCACGTCGGGGCCGGTCAGCTCGCCCTTGGCGCCCCTCACGTCCAGCTTGGGCCCCTTGATGTCCACCTGGGGGCCCTTGAAGTCCACTTTCGGCATCTTGATGCTGGGCATCTGCACCTTGGGCAGGTGGCCCTTGAGTCCGGCTCCGGCGGCGGGGCCCTGGAGCTGGCCCTCGGGCAGCTGGCCCGCGGGCAGCCTCACGCCCAGCTCGCCGGCCTTGACGTCCACGTCGGCAGAGGGCAGCTGCACGCTGAGGTCACTGGTCTTCACGTCGGCCTGCAGCGAGGGCAGCGACACGTCCACCGAGGCCTCGAGGGGCTTGCCGGCCGCCGACACGCCGAAGGACGGCATCTTGAACTTGGGCATCTTGAACTTGCTGGCCCCCTCCTTGTCCCCGAGGCCGACGTCGCCCTCCAGCGTGGCGCCGGGCGCCTGGATGTCCAGCTCCACGCCGGGCAGCGACGCCTCCACGTCGGGGCCGGTCAGCTCGCCCTTGGCGCCCCTCACGTCCAGCTTCGGCCCCTTGATGTCCACCTGGGGGCCCTTGATGTCCACCTTGGGCATCTTGATGCTGGGCATCTGCACCTTGGGCAGGTGGCCCTTGAACCGGGCCCCGTCGGCCCTGCCCTTCAGCTCGCCCAGCGCCACCTCTCCCTCGGGCAGGGCCACCTCCAGCTCGGCCCCCGGCAGCTCCAAGTCCGCGGACGGCAGCTGGACGCCGCCCTCCGGGGCGCGCACCTCGCCCGCCACGGCGGGCAGGCTCACCTCCGCCGTGGCCTTGGGCGCCGGCACGTCCACGGACGTCCCCAGCTCCTTGCCGGCCGCCGACACGCCGAAGGACGGCATCTTGAACTTGGGCATCTTGAACTTGCTGGCCCCCTCCTTGTCCCCGAGGCCGACGTCGCCCTCCAGCGTGGCGCCGGGCGCCTGGATGTCCAGCTCCACGCCGGGCAGCGACGCCTCCACGTCGGGGCCGGTCAGCTCGCCCTTGGCGCCCCTCACGTCCAGCTTGGGCCCCTTGATGTCCACCTGGGGGCCCTTGAAGTCCACTTTCGGCATCTTGATGCTGGGCATCTGCACCTTGGGCAGGTGGCCCTTGAGTCCGGCTCCGGCGGCGGGGCCCTGGAGCTGGCCCTCGGGCAGCTGGCCCGCGGGCAGGCCTCACGCCCAGCTCGCCGGCCTTGACGTCCACGTCGGCAGAGGGCAGCTGCACGCTGAGGTCACTGGTCTTCACGTCGGCCTGCAGCGAGGGCAGCGACACGTCCACCGAGGCCTCGAGGGGCTTGCCGGCCGCCGACACGCCGAAGGACGGCATCTTGAACTTGGGCATCTTGAACTTGCTGGCCCCCTCCTTGTCCCCGAGGCCGACGTCGCCCTCCAGCGTGGCGCCGGGCGCCTGGATGTCCAGCTCCACGCCGGGCAGCGACGCCTCCACGTCGGGGCCGGTCAGCTCGCCCTTGGCGCCCCTCACGTCCAGCTTCGGCCCCTTGATGTCCACCTGGGGGCCCTTGATGTCCACCTTGGGCATCTTGATGCTGGGCATCTGCACCTTGGGCAGGTGGCCCTTGAGTCCGGCTCCGGCGGCGGGGCCCTGGAGCTGGCCCTCGGGCAGCTGGCCCGCGGGCAGCCTCACGCCCAGCTCGCCGGCCTTGACGTCCACGTCGGCAGAGGGCAGCTGCACGCTGAGGTCACTGGTCTTCACGTCGGCCTGCAGCGAGGGCAGCGACACGTCCACCGAGGCCTCGAGGGGCTTGCCGGCCGCCGACACGCCGAAGGACGGCATCTTGAACTTGGGCATCTTGAACTTGCTGGCCCCCTCCTTGTCCCCGAGGCCGACGTCGCCCTCCAGCGTGGCGCCGGGCGCCTGGATGTCCAGCTCCACGCCGGGCAGCGACGCCTCCACGTCGGGGCCGGTCAGCTCGCCCTTGGCGCCCCTCACGTCCAGCTTCGGCCCCTTGATGTCCACCTGGGGGCCCTTGATGTCCACCTTGGGCATCTTGATGCTGGGCATCTGCACCTTGGGCAGGTGGCCCTTGAACCGGGCCCCGTCGGCCCTGCCCTTCAGCTCGCCCAGCGCCACCTCTCCCTCGGGCAGGGCCACCTCCAGCTCGGCCCCCGGCAGCTCCAAGTCCGCGGACGGCAGCTGGACGCCGCCCTCCGGGGCGCGCACCTCGCCCGCCACGGCGGGCAGGCTCACCTCCGCCGTGGCCTTGGGCGCCGGCACGTCCACGGACGTCCCCAGCTCCTTGCCGGCCGCCGACACGCCGAAGGACGGCATCTTGAACTTGGGCATCTTGAACTTGCTGGCCCCCTCCTTGTCCCCGAGGCCGACGTCGCCCTCCAGCGTGGCGCCGGGCGCCTGGATGTCCAGCTCCACGCCGGGCAGCGACGCCTCCACGTCGGGGCCGGTCAGCTCGCCCTTGGCGCCCCTCACGTCCAGCTTGGGCCCCTTGATGTCCACCTGGGGGCCCTTGAAGTCCACTTTCGGCATCTTGATGCTGGGCATCTGCACCTTGGGCAGGTGGCCCTTGAGTCCGGCTCCGGCGGCGGGGCCCTGGAGCTGGCCCTCGGGCAGCTGGCCCGCGGGCAGCCTCACGCCCAGCTCGCCGGCCTTGACGTCCACGTCGGCAGAGGGCAGCTGCACGCTGAGGTCACTGGTCTTCACGTCGGCCTGCAGCGAGGGCAGCGACACGTCCACCGAGGCCTCGAGGGGCTTGCCGGCCGCCGACACGCCGAAGGACGGCATCTTGAACTTGGGCATCTTGAACTTGCTGGCCCCCTCCTTGTCCCCGAGGCCGACGTCGCCCTCCAGCGTGGCGCCGGGCGCCTGGATGTCCAGCTCCACGCCGGGCAGCGACGCCTCCACGTCGGGGCCGGTCACCTCGCCCTTGGCGCCCCTCACGTCCAGCTTGGGCCCCTTGATGTCCACCTGGGGGCCCTTGAAGTCCACTTTCGGCATCTTGATGCTGGGCATCTGCACCTTGGGCAGGTGGCCCTTGAGTCCGGCTCCGGCGGCGGGGCCCTGGAGCTGGCCCTCGGGCAGCTGGCCCGCGGGCAGCCTCACGCCCAGCTCGCCGGCCTTGACGTCCACGTCGGCAGAGGGCAGCTGCACGCTGAGGTCACTGGTCTTCACGTCGGCCTGCAGCGAGGGCAGCGACACGTCCACCGAGGCCTCGAGGGGCTTGCCGGCCGCCGACACGCCGAAGGACGGCATCTTGAACTTGGGCATCTTGAACTTGCTGGCCCCCTCCTTGTCCCCGAGGCCGACGTCGCCCTCCAGCGTGGCGCCGGGCGCCTGGATGTCCAGCTCCACGCCGGGCAGCGACGCCTCCACGTCGGGGCCGGTCACCTCGCCCTTGGCGCCCCTCACGTCCAGCTTGGGCCCCTTGATGTCCACCTGGGGGCCCTTGATGTCCACTTTCGGCATCTTGATGCTGGGCATCTGCACCTTGGGCAGGTGGCCCTTGAGTCCGGCTCCGGCGGCGGGGCCCTGGAGCTGGCCCTCGGGCAGCGGGCCCGCGGGCAGCCTCACGCCCAGCTCGCCGGCCTTGACGTCCACGTCGGCAGAGGGCAGCTGCACGCTGAGGTCACTGGTCTTCACGTCGGCCTGCAGCGAGGGCAGCGACACGTCCACCGAGGCCTCGAGGGGCTTGCCGGCCGCCGACACGCCGAAGGACGGCATCTTGAACTTGGGCATCTTGAACTTGCTGGCCCCCTCCTTGTCCCCGAGGCCGACGTCGCCCTCCAGCGTGGCGCCGGGCGCCTGGATGTCCAGCTCCACGCCGGGCAGCGACGCCTCCACGTCGGGGCCGGTCACCTCGCCCTTGGCGCCCCTCACGTCCAGCTTGGGCCCCTTGATGTCCACCTGGGGGCCCTTGAAGTCCACTTTCGGCATCTTGATGCTGGGCATCTGCACCTTGGGCAGGTGGCCCTTGAGTCCGGCTCCGGCGGCGGGGCCCTGGAGCTGGCCCTCGGGCAGCTGGCCCGCGGGCAGCCTCACGCCCAGCTCGCCGGCCTTGACGTCCACGTCGGCAGAGGGCAGCTGCACGCTGAGGTCACTGGTCTTCACGTCGGCCTGCAGCGAGGGCAGCGACACGTCCACCGAGGCCTCGAGGGGCTTGCCGGCCGCCGACACGCCGAAGGACGGCATCTTGAACTTGGGCATCTTGAACTTGCTGGCCCCCTCCTTGTCCCCGTGGCCAACGTCGCCCTCCAGCGTGGCGCCGGGCGCCTGGATGTCCAGCTCCACGCCGGGCAGCGACGCCTCCACGTCGGGGCCGGTCAGCTCGCCCTTGGCGCCCCTCACGTCCAGCTTCGGCCCCTTGATGTCCACCTGGGGGCCCTTGATGTCCACCTTGGGCATCTTGATGCTGGGCATCTGCACCTTGGGCAGGTGGCCCTTGAACCGGGCCCCGTCGGCCCTGCCCTTCAGCTCGCCCAGCGCCACCTCTCCCTCGGGCAGGGCCACCTCCAGCTCGGCCCCCGGCAGCTCCAAGTCCGCGGACGGCAGCTGGACGCCGCCCTCCGGGGCGCGCACCTCGCCCGCCACGGCGGGCAGGCTCACCTCCGCCGTGGCCTTGGGCGCCGGCACGTCCACGGACGTCCCCAGCTCCTTGCCGGCCGCCGACACGCCGAAGGACGGCATCTTGAACTTGGGCATCTTGAACTTGCTGGCCCCCTCCTTGTCCCCGAGGCCGACGTCGCCCTCCAGCGTGGCGCCGGGCGCCTGGATGTCCAGCTCCACGCCGGGCAGCGACGCCTCCACGTCGGGGCCGGTCAGCTCGCCCTTGGCGCCCCTCACGTCCAGCTTGGGCCCCTTGATGTCCACCTGGGGGCCCTTGAAGTCCACTTTCGGCATCTTGATGCTGGGCATCTGCACCTTGGGCAGGTGGCCCTTGAGTCCGGCTCCGGCGGCGGGGCCCTGGAGCTGGCCCTCGGGCAGCTGGCCCGCGGGCAGCCTCACGCCCAGCTCGCCGGCCTTGACGTCCACGTCGGCAGAGGGCAGCTGCACGCTGAGGTCACTGGTCTTCACGTCGGCCTGCAGCGAGGGCAGCGACACGTCCACCGAGGCCTCGAGGGGCTTGCCGGCCGCCGACACGCCGAAGGACGGCATCTTGAACTTGGGCATCTTGAACTTGCTGGCCCCCTCCTTGTCCCCGAGGCCGACGTCGCCCTCCAGCGTGGCGCCGGGCGCCTGGATGTCCAGCTCCACGCCGGGCAGCGACGCCTCCACGTCGGGGCCGGTCACCTCGCCCTTGGCGCCCCTCACGTCCAGCTTGGGCCCCTTGATGTCCACCTGGGGGCCCTTGAAGTCCACTTTCGGCATCTTGATGCTGGGCATCTGCACCTTGGGCAGGTGGCCCTTGAGTCCGGCTCCGGCGGCGGGGCCCTGGAGCTGGCCCTCGGGCAGCTGGCCCGCGGGCAGCCTCACGCCCAGCTCGCCGGCCTTGACGTCCACGTCGGCAGAGGGCAGCTGCACGCTGAGGTCACTGGTCTTCACGTCGGCCTGCAGCGAGGGCAGCGACACGTCCACCGAGGCCTCGAGGGGCTTGCCGGCCGCCGACACGCCGAAGGACGGCATCTTGAACTTGGGCATCTTGAACTTGCTGGCCCCCTCCTTGTCCCCGAGGCCGACGTCGCCCTCCAGCGTGGCGCCGGGCGCCTGGATGTCCAGCTCCACGCCGGGCAGCGACGCCTCCACGTCGGGGCCGGTCAGCTCGCCCTTGGCGCCCCTCACGTCCAGCTTCGGCCCCTTGATGTCCACCTGGGGGCCCTTGATGTCCACCTTGGGCATCTTGATGCTGGGCATCTGCACCTTGGGCAGGTGGCCCTTGAACCGGGCCCCGTCGGCCCTGCCCTTCAGCTCGCCCAGCGCCACCTCTCCCTCGGGCAGGGCCACCTCCAGCTCGGCCCCCGGCAGCTCCAAGTCCGCGGACGGCAGCTGGACGCCGCCCTCCGGGGCGCGCACCTCGCCCGCCACGGCGGGCAGGCTCACCTCCGCCGTGGCCTTGGGCGCCGGCACGTCCACGGACGTCCCCAGCTCCTTGCCGGCCGCCGACACGCCGAAGGACGGCATCTTGAACTTGGGCATCTTGAACTTGCTGGCCCCCTCCTTGTCCCCGAGGCCGACGTCGCCCTCCAGCGTGGCGCCGGGCGCCTGGATGTCCAGCTCCACGCCGGGCAGCGACGCCTCCACGTCGGGGCCGGTCACCTCGCCCTTGGCGCCCCTCACGTCCAGCTTGGGCCCCTTGATGTCCACCTGGGGGCCCTTGAAGTCCACTTTCGGCATCTTGATGCTGGGCATCTGCACCTTGGGCAGGTGGCCCTTGAGTCCGGCTCCGGCGGCGGGGCCCTGGAGCTGGCCCTCGGGCAGCTGGCCCGCGGGCAGCCTCACGCCCAGCTCGCCGGCCTTGACGTCCACGTCGGCAGAGGGCAGCTGCACGCTGAGGTCACTGGTCTTCACGTCGGCCTGCAGCGAGGGCAGCGACACGTCCACCGAGGCCTCGAGGGGCTTGCCGGCCGCCGACACGCCGAAGGACGGCATCTTGAACTTGGGCATCTTGAACTTGCTGGCCCCCTCCTTGTCCCCGAGGCCGACGTCGCCCTCCAGCGTGGCGCCGGGCGCCTGGATGTCCAGCTCCACGCCGGGCAGCGACGCCTCCACGTCGGGGCCGGTCACCTCGCCCTTGGCGCCCCTCACGTCCAGCTTGGGCCCCTTGATGTCCACCTGGGGGCCCTTGAAGTCCACTTTCGGCATCTTGATGCTGGGCATCTGCACCTTGGGCAGGTGGCCCTTGAGTCCGGCCCCGGCGGCCGGGCCCTGGAGCTGGCCCTCGGGCAGCGGGCCCGCGGGCAGCCTCACGCCCAGCTCGCCGGCCTTGACGTCCACGTCGGCAGAGGGCAGCTGCACGCTGAGGTCACTGGTCTTCACGTCGGCCTGCAGCGAGGGCAGCGACACGTCCACCGAGGCCTCGAGGGGCTTGCCGGCCGCCGACACGCCGAAGGACGGCATCTTGAACTTGGGCATCTTGAACTTGCCGTCCCGGACGCCCACCTCCTTGACCCCCAGGCCTATATCCACCTCCATTTTTTCTTCCTTCTGTCTTCCATTTGGCTTCCTCCGGGTTTGTCTGAATGCTTTCCCGTCGTCTTCATCACTGCCCTCTCCGTCCTTCTGTTTTGACAACAATAAGACATTTTTCCTGTTTTCTCTGAGTCCTCTCCTTTGTCTCCCCCCCCCATCCCCCGTGAGGGAGCGACCCGCTCAGCCTTGGCCTTGGGTCGTCGGACGTTTCCCGTTCCCGTCCCTTCGTCAGGAGCTGTGCCCGCGCTTTTGCTGTCTCCTCTCTCAGTCCTGCCTTCCCGCCTCCTCTCTTGCTTCCTCCCCACGAGTGCACCTTCTGTGGCCCCTGTCCCTCCATGTCCGTGGCCCATGTCCCGTCTCAATGGCTCTGTTGCCTGTCCTTTTTGGCATGTCCCCTGCTCGCCTGCTCTCCTTCATCCTTACACACTAGCAGTTTTTCTTGAGAAAACCTGCATGGGTGTCGGTCTGGTGGGTGCTCAGGCCGGGTCCGACAGCCATGGCCCCATGCGCGGCAGCCTCTGCGGGGGTCGCAGACGCCACCGACAGTCCCGGCCTGGCCCCTCGCTCCCTCCCTGGGGCCCCCCTTGCCCTGCCTGGGATCTGTGCCTTTTTGGGTTTCCCTTGTGGCTTCATCTCCTCTGGACCTTCTCCTCCTTCCCTTTGTTTTGGCGTCTGGGCAGCTGCCTGCCCCACACGCCGGTCTCCATGGCGGGTCGCCGCACTCTGTGGTGGTGCTCATGCAGAGCGGGTGTCCCCTCCCGTGTGTCTGCCCCCGTCCTCTCTCCTGCCGCGTGCTCAGCCATCCTGCCCTGTTGGATGTCATCCCAGGACCCTGCCTCCTCCGGGTCCCTGGCCTGGACAGCCCCGCCTGGGTTCCTCTGCCCAGCGCCCAGCCAGCGACGGCCCGGCCCCTGAGCCCACCTTGAACCGCAGGTTCAGGAACCTCCTCCTCCGCTGGCTGCCGGGCCCTGCCCTCTGCTCCCGCTCCTCTGCCGGGAGCCGGGCCTCTGTGTCTGAGCTCGTGGGGGACACGTCCAGGACTGTGCCCCTCTCGTAGGCCTCCGAGGAGCTGTGTGACCTCCGCGGCCCTCGCTTGCTTCTTATGGCTTGGAACTTGGGCCAGGAGAGCCTCTCCCCCTGCGGCCGCCGGCTCCGGCCCTCCCTGGGTTTGGAGATGAGTCTCTCCTGGTCTCCGTCTCCCTCCACCGTCCTCACTGGGGTGTCTGTGCTCCCGTCAGCAACATCTGCGCCCTGGAACACATGGAGGGGTCTCCTGTGGGGGCAGCTCAAGAGGCCCGAGGCCCGGGCTCAGGGGACACCCAGGCCTGGGTCCGGGGGCCACGGCAGCCGCACCTGCTTCCCCTCGCGCTTTGAGGCGTGCTGAGCTGTGCTGCAGGCCCACTCTTCATCCCCGCCGGGCGGAAGTTTCCGTTTGATCCTGAACTGGACCTTGTACGGCTCTGAGTACTGAAGGATTTTGAGAGCATCCTCATAGCTGATGTTGTCGAAGAAAATGGTGGCGCTAAGCAGCTGGTCCCCTGGAGATAGACAGAGTAGGCCGGCCTCAGCCCTCCCCGGCCCGCCCTTGCACAGGGGAGGGCCCTGAAGGGGGCGTGCGCCTGGCTGCCCGGGGCTTCCCTCCAGGGAGCCGCCCCGCGACAGCGGGCGCACCCAGCAGGGCGGCGCTCATCCTGACCGCCAGGCACGGCCCTGCCGACGGGACCCTGAGGACACGGGGTGGGGTGGCCACGGCACCTTCTCTCAGGCTGAAGAGCCTGGCGGCCGAGGAGCCCTGCAGCACTTGCTTGACAAAGATGCCCTGGTCTCCGCCACCCGTGACGCTATAGCCACTGGCACCAGCCTCTGCCTCGGTCTTCAGCGTCACCTCTGTTGCCTCCTGCAGGGCAGGGCAGAAGCACAGCAGGGCCTTGGTAAGCACAGGCCCGCCCCACTGTGGGCGGCAGCGCTGGGGGCTGCCCCCCGAAGACAGAGACCCCAGATCCCGCCCGTCGTTCGGCGACAGAGAGTGAGGGGAGGGCCCCCGCCAGGCGGGCCTGGGCTGCCGTGTCCGAGCCGTGCAGGGAGCCAGCCGCAGCCGCCTCACGGGTGGATGACCTTTCCCTGTCTCCCCCACCCCTGGCCAGGACTCAGGGGCAGCCTCTCCACAGCCGTCCAGGCCCGGGAGGCTTGGCCAGCAAAGGGGAAAGGCTCCCGCACCATCGCCCCTGCTCGTCCTCCACACTGGAGCTCAGGTCGCCCCCAAGGCAGCTGGCGCTCGAGCCCCGCAGGGTCAGAGATGCTGAGAGAAATACAGGCAGTCGCGCGGCCAGCCTGACCTGGGCGGGGCGGGGGCCTTGGGGTAGCTTGAGAACTGCCAGGGCTGCCGGCGACAGAACAGGCCACCCCGGGGGGCAGTGCCCCCACCTCGCCGGGAGCCCACAGACTCAAGCATCGTCTGGGCCTGTGTGGCAGCCGCGGCCTAGCCTGCGTGCGGCTGAGGTCTGCGCGCCGAGGTCCGCTGGCCAGGAGTCTGGCCCCTCCCCCGCAGGAACCCAGGGCTGTGGGGAGGCCAGGACTGGCCTTCGGGAGCCCGTGCCCAGGCCTGACGAGGGGCGGGGCACGCTGCCAGCCTCCCTGCCCCGCTTCCCCCAGCTCTGGCCGCAGCCCCGAGTCCCCGCCTTACCCACCTCTGTACGACTCATCCTGGAAAACGTCCGGGAGTCCCCAGAATCCCGCTTCCACCAGGACCTCCGTCGCCCTGCGGAGGCTCGTCTGCTCGGCGTGTCTTCCTGCAGCCACAGAGGTCGAGGCTCACCCTCCTGCCCCAGCCCCGGGAATGGGGGTCCCGTCGGAGGCCAGGACCCTGACCTCAAAGGCCCAGGAACCCCCGCACGGGGCTGCGCGCAGAGGACTGAGCTCCTTAGCTGTGGGGACACTGCATGTCTCCTCTCGGGAGATGGCACACACACCCATCTCCTGCGGCCTGCCCCCCACACGCGCGCGCGCGCGCACACACACAAGCTGAGGGTGGGCGGAGGAGGGGAGGAGCCAGAGAGGGCGCCTGATCGCCAGGGCTGTGGCCAACGTGGCCGCACAGACACGCGTGTGAGAGTCGCCCGTTCAGGGCGACGCGGAAGGGGAGGCAGCCCCTCAGGGCCCCGCACCCGAGCCTTCCCCCGCCGGTGGGTGTCTGTCCCATGGGCTCACCGGGATCCCGAAGCCCTCAGTCACGCATTCGTAGACAGGCGAGGACCCCTGTGGCCGCGGCCGGATGATCTCGTCCGCGGGCCCCTCGGTGACCTGGCAGGAGGAGAGAATCGGTTTACCCTTGGCCACGCGGGTCCTGCCCGGCCCAGGGGAGGGGGTTGAGGAGGCAGGCATCTCCCGAGCCTCACGTACAGCGTGGCCCTCGGCGTCTGCGTCTGGCACCCCGGGCTGCAGCTGCCGGCCGGGCCCTGCAGAGAGAAGGGCCGAGTCAGGGCCACCCTGCCGGTCGGGGGGCCTGCGGGTGGGGGCCCAGGGGGGCACTGGGCCGTGGAGGCACAGCCTGGTCCTGGTGCCCAGAGGCTGTGACGTCAGGTCAGAGGGCTGTGAGCCAGGATGGCGGAGCCAGACAAAGTGACAGCCTCCACGGACTTAGTGCAAGACAGTGACCAAACACGCACGTGAACACGGCGCTGCTCACAGCCCGGGGCAGACTCCGCGTCCGGGGTGGCCGCAACGTGTGACCCATAATGTCCAGCACTTGACAAGAGCCCCACGATGTGCAACGGAGCACGAAAGCAGGGCCCGTGCCAAGGAGCAGAGCTGGGGACGGGGCTGTCTCTGAGGGCCCGCGGAGGCGGTGTTCAGCACGGACTGCACCGCAATTACCATAAACTTGTTCAAAAGCTAAAGGAAACCATGGCTCAAGAATCACTGGAAAATATATGGCATCAATGAAGGGTGACAGTCACGGAGAAATAGAAACCGCAGGCATTAAAACCAAGCGACGGCCTGGGAGTTGAGACTTTTCCGCAGGGTTCACGGCAGGACTGAGGCGGGGACAGACGGCATGAGAGGCCTTTCACACGTCTCTGTGGCTGCGCAGCAGCTGAAGTCGCACTCGGTGTCTCCCTGGCACCCAGTGGGACTGGCACGCGTGATGTAAACCGGAAGATGAGGACAGAAAGCCCGGAGCAGGCCCACACTGCGCCAGCCCACTTGGCTCTCACAAAGCAGCCGAGTAATTTAGAAAGAAAACACATTTTTCTGCAACGGTGCCAGGTAGACGAGATATTTCTTTGTGGGCCATGGGGGGGCAGGGGGACCAGAAACTTGCCTCGCATCACAAAGAAAAACAAACTCCAAGGGAATCAGAGCTAAATATGAAACCTAAAGCTATTAAACGAGAAGAAAACATGGGAGAAAGTCTTTGCCACTTGGAGGAGGCAAAGCTTTCTCAGGCAGGATAAAAAGGTGTAACTCATAGAAGAAAATGTGATCAATTATATTTCATCAAAATTAAAAACCTCTGGTCTGGAAAAGCATTCTTTTAAAAACACTTTTGTTTAATTTATCGACCGAATTTAGGGAGGGGTGGGGAGAAGGTGGCTTTGTTGTTCCATTACTGATGCGTCCTTGGTTGGTTTTCGTCTCTGCCCTGACTGGGGTTGAACCTGCAGCCTTGGCGTGTTGGGACGAGACTCCAACCTGCCGAGCCACCCGGCCAGGGCGGAGAGGCGTTATCAAGGAAGTGAAAATGTAACCCCTGTATCTGACGAAGGACTGGCACCCAGAACTACAGCTCAATAGAAAAAGACAGCTGAATAGAAAAAGACAAAACAATTAAAAACAGGGGAAAGATTTGGACAAACACATCCCAAAAGATGGACCCATAAGCAGAAGAAAAGACGTCATCATCTTTAGTCAGAAGGGGAATGCAAACTAAAGCTCAGGGGACAGATCAGAGACCCCAGAAGCACTCAGACAGACGTCAGCTGCAGGAGACGGAGGTCCTTTAGGGAACCGCTGCTGGGACCCCAGTCTCCAACTGAAAATCATTCACGTCGACCCCCGCTCTGCTACAGAGAGGGCGCATTTCCTGTGGGTTGGGCAGCCGAAGTTGATGGCGTAACAATCAAGCTCCCAGAAGGTTCACTTCGTAACACTTCGTAACCAGGACATGAAAAGCCTCCACAAGAAGCTGGCGGAGGGCCTAAAGTGGAGAGGCTGCGCCCACCACGGTCACCCTGAGGGCTGCACCGCCACGCCACCGGCCTGGTGAGGAGACACGAGGCTGTTACCACACGACACCCTATATGAATGCGGAAGAATCCTGCCCACCGAAAGGGAAAGACAAGCAACCCAACAGAAAAACAGGCAAGAAAACATCGGAAAAGCAATGGATCCACAGCGAAGACACCCAGCCAGCCAGCCGACACGGAGAGGTGCGCGGCACCCTCAGTCCGTCCCAGCGCCAGCGGTGCCGCCCCGCTCGGCGCGCTGCAGGCTGGGCGGAACCGGCCCCTGCGCCCTGGAAGGGCCTGGCAGCGTCTCCTGTCACCTCCCGGAGCCCGCCTGAGGCCCCGCAGCTCCACGCCCGGCTCTCCAGAGAGGCAAGCGTACGATCGCCAAGAGACGGGCACAAAAATGTCCTCCTGGAACTATTTCAGTGCCCAGAACCCAGAAAGGCTCAAATGCCCATCGACAGTGGAATGAGGACAACGTGAGTACTTGTCCTGGGGAATCGCACAGGGTGAAGCAAATGGATACAAAGTGCCCACGGGCAGCGCGGGCGGACGGGCAGGCAGCCCCAGCCGGCGTCCAGGGCCTGGCCGTCCGGGTCTGCTTGTCCGTCCGGGTGTTGGTTCCACCAGTGTGCAAGCTTTGGGAAAATGTGGCACAGTGAGGATTTGTACCCTTTTTCAAGGAAAAACTTCAATCCTGCATAAAATTGAAAGAAGGAAATTATAAACACTGAGCCAATGAATCTGAACATCTAGACAGATTGGACACATTCCTAGGGAGACACCCTGTCAGCCCCGCAGGAAAAACAATCAGAGTAGTTCTGTGCGATCCAACAATCAAATCCTTTATCTAAAATCTTCCACACGCCATGCCCAGCCCCGTCCCGCCCCAAAGTGCACCAAACGCTAGAGGCAGCAACACAGCTCTCTCCAGCCCTGCGACCCCCAGTGCTGGCGGTTTCTGGGGTCGGGCATGGGGCCTGCGCACGCCCTGTCCCCGTCCTGGAGGGAGCCCAGGGTTGGCTGCCGCTCTGCAGCCCATTCGCTCTGTGACCCTGGGCAAGCCTGCCCCTCTCTGAGCCTCGATCTCCCCAGATGCCTGAGGGCCACCCTGCCCACCCAGGGAACCAGAGGGGGCCGTGCGAGGGAGCGGGTGGTGCGGGGAAAGGGACAGGGCCGGGGGCGTGGGACGCTGCGCGCTGCACGGGGCAGCTCAGGGGCGCAGAGCGAACCGGGCCCCAGCTCTGGCCGGGGGGGGCGGGGAGGGGTGGAGACCGGAGCCTACTCCTGTGAAGCCCGCCCCACCCTGGCGGCGGACCCCGCTCTCTCCGGCCTTGGTTTCCCTTCCCGTTCCGCCCAGACCCTCACCCTTTCCCCAAAGTGCGTGTGCTGTGGGTAGGCAACGAGGCAACCGAGGCTGGCAGAGGGGAAGCCGCTTGCCCAGAGCGGCCTGGCCAGCAGGCGCGGACCGCGGCCAGGCTGGGCCAGGGCAGTGGAGGGTGCAGGCAGCCCCCGCAGGGGGGTGGGCGGTCTGGAAGCTCCTGGCTATCCAGAAACCCGCCTCCCCTCCCTCAGCCTCCACAGCGAGGCTCTGAGTCAGAGAGCAAAACAAGGGCCAGTGGCCGCCCTCCTGGGCAGACAAGCAGGCAGGCTCCGTTCTGAGGGGGCGGCCGCAGCAGAGCCCAGAGAGGCTCTGCTCCCTGGGAAGGGAGAGGCCGGGCCAACAGGCGAGGTTTCAGGCCAGGTGCTGGGGACGCTGCGTTCCGGGGGCAACGTGGTGGAAGGGCCCCCGAGCCGCGCGCGGCCCCCGGCCCCTGGGAAGCTCGACCTGGGCCTGCTCCTGGGAGTCTCGTGGGCGACAGGGCGGGAGAGAAAGCTGGGGGCACGCCCTGCTGGGAACCTGAGGTGGGGGCAGCTGGCCTGCCCCACGCAGGGCTGGTCCACTGTCACAGCCACCCCCTCGGCTGGCAGCGAGCCTGCCACCGCGGGGGCGAAGGGCGGGCTTGGGGAGGCCATGGTGCTGGGAAGTTGCCCGGCTGTTGTCGTAAGCTCTGGGTCCTTCGGTGCCCCTGGAGGAGAGCCCTGGCCTGGCCCAGGGGCACACAAACAGGAAGGAGGAAATCCCGCCTGCCAGGACCGGGCTGCTGGGCCAGCGGCAACCTGGCCGCTGGAGGGACAAGGAGGCACCGGGGCCCCCGGAACATCACGCTGCCAGTCCCGTCCTCGGGGGCCACCGCAGTCCCAGCGCAGGGAGGCGTCCCGAAGGCCTGCCTGGCCCAGCCCCCGACCATGGCCTCACAGACAGGCTCTGGGGACAGCCTGGCCCACTGGTCACCTCAAACAATGACGGATAATGATAAGGTCCCCAAAGCCCCACTTAGAGGGGGACGTAGGGGTGATGCGCTGAGCCAGGTCCCAAAGGCCCTTTCCCGCTTCCCCAGGGCTCAGGGCCCAGCGTGGCTGGCCTGCGTGGGCCCCCCCGCCTCCCCGCCCCCCGCAGCCTCACACAGCAGCTGGCCAGGCCGGAAACGCTCGGGGAGGAGGACCTGGGGACCTGGGGTGAGAGGGGCTGAGCACCACTTCAGCCAGAACGCTGCACCCCCAGGAACTGGAGTCTCCTGGGGGCGGAGGAGCAGAGCCAAGAGTGCGGGGACCAGGGGACAGGGACACGGAGGGGGCTGTGCCCAGAATGAGTTGCCTATAAGGCTCCAGACCAAGCTGGGGACCCTTCCAGCAGTGCCAACCAAGTGGGCGTTCTGCGGGTGGGGCAGTTTTGCTTAAACAAAACCCAAGATTGCATTTAGCCACCCCTGGGGCCCAGCACCCTCCTCCAAGTGGGTCCAGGTGAGGGGAGCACGTTGCGGTCGAGTGCGTTTGCACGTTACCAGGGCAAAGGCGGGCCTGGGGAGCGGAGACGGTGGAGGAGAGCTGCCTGGAGGGCCCAGGAGGTGGCCTGAGAGGCCGGCGGGGTGTGCGGGGACAGGCGTGGCTGGGCCAGGAACCCGGGCCCCGTGGGCCGGGCGCAGCGCGGGGGGAGCCCCGAGGCAGGCTCACCCTTGGGGACACGGCTCTCAGGCTTGGGGTCCAGGACCCAAGCCTCACCTTGCCCTGGAGCTTGATGAGGAGAGGGCTGGGCCCGGCTGACTCGTCACAAGACCTTGCAGCTTCCAGAAGCGGCAGCCGCCAGCAGCCCGCGAGGGCCCGCCCCGCCCCCTGGATGTGGCTGA